TGTTAGGTCGACTGGAAAATTTCTCCAACTGCTCCAATAGTTGAGTGTCGGCGATTCGGTCTGTCCGAGGTGGTCGGTAGACAGTGAGGACATCGAGACACGGGGAGCCGGTAGCCTTGATGGTCAACCAGATAGCTTCCGTACTGCACACAAACTTGGTGGTGTTATCCGACACTGCCAGACCGTCATTCACATACACAACGATACCACCACCCTGACGATGTTCCCTGTCCCTCCGATAAATTTGGTATCCAGGCAAGGCTACTTCGTTATCGCTAATAGTCCCGGACAGCCAGGTCTCAGTTACTGCTAAAACATCTGGAGACAGCTCAACAAGACAAAGTTTTAGTTCGTCTAGTTTCAAAATGAGGCTTTGGGCATTCGTGTACAAGCACCTCAGTTTAGCACCAGCCGAAATTTAAGGGAGGGGTGAGCACTGGCTCATCTCCCGAACCTCCTATCATTAGGTGTACGTCAGTCTCACTATCTCGTCTTTTTGCCGGCCTTTGCGAAAGAGCTTGCGCTCCTGTACCGAAACCTCAGCATCCGCGGTTTTGGTTGTGAGCCGCGTTTTCGTAATGGCGACGATATCGGGGACGTTCTGATACTAGCGCCTTGAGCTCGTCCATTTTCGAAACGGAACTTTCAGCACTAGTTCAAGAAAATCTCGATTTGGCCAGAGTGACTCCGGCATACAGGTCTCTGCCCATTTTATTAATTGAATGCAAAAATCTGCTGCTGCTGATCAAGCCATGCTTCTGTCCAGCATCCCCAAGCTGTGTGGATAATAGGTTATCTCAAGTGAAATGACCTCAGGACAGGAGTAATTTCAGAGTTCATTATTTTCAGGTCTCCCTCGCCCATGTTTGATATCCCGGGGAGTTCAAATCTGAACCCACTCCATTTCGCTCTCTTCGCGAACGAATAAGCCGTCTAAGACTGTTGCGAACATTTCGGACTGCGGGTTACCTGCTCAGTGGAAACTGGGCTTGTTCATCTTTCTGGAAGACAATTTTGAGCGATCTCGGTCGACCAGACTCATACTTTGAGTTTTTTATTTTGCACATTCCGAAAGCCTCTTTTACAGGGATTTTTCGTCTCCTTTTGGGAAGGAATTGTGATATTGGTAAAATATTTTCACTTTATGGCGAATTCCGCCCTTCGAGGTGTGAAAGGCAGACTCACACACGACCCTTTGGACACTGCATTTACTACGACCAATTCCAGTGTCATGTGGTTTTTTTCTGACGTGATGAGGCTTCATTATTGATATCCAGGTTATCGTTTTCTACTGATTTAAGAAGATTTTGTGCCACACTGCCAGCACATAGTTCTGCAAATGCGGAGGCTTTTTCGTCATTCCTGACTTTCGACACACAGTTTTTGCTTGCAGTCTACTTGGTTTCTCTTCCCTAATCTGGTCTTTTTGTCTTTCCTGGATGGTCTGTTATATCTTTATGCCACAAAGTCTCTCTCTAAGGACTATTTCTCAGACCATGAATTGATCCTCATTCATGTTGAGTTCGGCGGAGGAAATGATTTCCTTGTCATCGGTTGACGCAACCACGATAGCAGTATTTGTATACGCTCTCACTTTTTCCTGAATTTCTGGTGTCAGTAAATTCCCCTCATTAGGTAAATGGCAAAGGAGATTTGCCAACTTCTCCACCCATATTTTTAGGCAGTGGGTAATCAAAAGATTCAAGGAAAAGTGGAGGTTGTTACATACGATGCCAACAAACAAGGAAGCGAAAGCTTTAGAAGAAGTTATTTCCGAAAAGTCAAGTTTCAATATTGATCAGTAAATGTACTCCGTCGTAAGCTTTTGAATAAAAACTGCGCAGCGTATTTGGGCATAAAAGCTGGGAATACGTCTTTTGCTTCTTCCAAAAAGTTATTTATTCTCGCATTTTCAATATTTTTAGATTAGTAAGGCGTAGTATTAGAGAACGAACATTGTTATCTGCTAATATATTATAGATAACTGGGGCGCTAGAGGCTCCGGTGGACCCACTATACCCAATCGAGAATCATCACGTACGACAATACCATCACAAATAAGATAGAGAGTCTTAATAGGGTATAAAATCAGTAGTGCAGGCCGTATATGAGTCTAGCGAACTGTACCGATATTGTTGTGCGTTGCATACTTTTCAGGGAAATTGATCATGAATGAATTGAGGCCAGTGACAATTGCTTCCACAGGTCCTACAGAGGTCTAGAGTTTCACATATAAAAATTGGTGAAAAGCTGACTGAGAACGGCCGGATCTCCAGATAAGCCTCTTTTCTAAATATGCCGATGTTAAACTTTCAAGCGTGTGGCCGACACGTGCAGTTGTCGATTTCATCGGACCTTACAACTGCTGCATGCACATAGCCCCGACTTCCTCGGGCAGAATAATGTACAACGCGATCCAGCTCCATGATATTGTCTGTCGAGCGCGTTGAGCGGAACCTGCTTTATCCTTCATGTCCACATTATCATCAGCAGAAAATTAAGAGAGTTGAAAAAGACGAAGTTCACCTGATAAATAGAATCGGTAAAAGGTTTATTGGCAGTAATTAGCTAAGCATGCTTGCATTATTGCCGCTTGTTCCCGGCCTGGCCAAGCTTGTTTGAAGAAGAGAGCATCAGGCAGCTTATCAACAGTAACTACTCACACGTTAGCAGTAACGGTACATTACAAGTGCCGTGCCTTTCTGTTTGTCTTTTGTAATCTTTTGACGTTTTATTTTTTGTTCACATTGTTTTTTGGTTTTGCAAGCGACTTGTTTTTGATGGACCTGTCATAATGCCTTTCTTGGTCATTCGGTTGCATATTCGTTGTATTGGTGAGCCGTTGTTCATGCAGGCGAAGTTCCTGGAGGGTTTCTACTTGAACCCTTTAGTTGTCAGCGTCGTTCCGTCGCGTTTCTGAAGTCGTTTGTAACAGTCAAACACATCGCCATACGCCCCTCTTGTTTTAGTAATATTCTGCTGACGTATACCTTTGTAACAGTACCCATCCTTCCCGGTGCCACCTGTGCCGACTTACTGTAATTCACTGCTGTCGCCGTCTTGGTAGTGGATTGTTTGACATAATCTGCCCAGAAACCCCTCCTTACGTCTGACGTCGAGGCCTCAGTGACGCACGTGCGCCGTTTCCGTCGCCTCTCACTGTGACAGCATATAACGCAAGCCTCGTTTCTTTGGCAATGCTACAAAGGCTAAATGTGCACGCGCGCGGTTATTGATTTTGATCATCATGTTCAGTGTAGCAAAATGTGTTGCCAAGCTGTGCAAGTATTCCACGTCCTGGCATCGAAATATGGTGATCGAGGTTAGCCGCGGAGAAACTGGAACTTCCAGGTCGCTTGCGCATGCTAGATGTACCTTCAGGCAGTCACCGTCTCATGCTGCTTTGAGTACTCCGTCAGACGTGTCGGTCAACCCTTAGCTAATAACCTCGTTTTCACAGTCGTGTTGGTTGGTCGTCACTTATACGTTTCATGAATAAAGTTGTGCAACCACCAAAACTGATATGGTCAGTAAATACCTATGCGAGTAACTCTGGTCTGGCTGAGCCTAACAGTAAGGCAATGTCGCTGGACATCGACACGTTTCGAGTCGGCGGAATACCATGGACCCAGGCTGTGTAGTACATTGTCTACAATCACTATGCCTACAGTGGTCATAATCTACTAGATCGTCATATTTTATTTAAAAGGTAGTTCTCGTCTTCGTCCTCCGACACCTGCCCTTGTTAACCGTCTAAACTGTTGTTCCCAAACTCCTTGTCTCCAAAATAGCTTCAAGCTGAGGACGTTGCGTAGCGGGAGACGGCGCGACACCTGCGAAGATATAAATTTGCCACAATCCTTTTTATTAAAGCAAAAGGAAAGAGGGGATTTATGTGTTTGGCTGTTGCTCATCGGATTCATCTACCAGATTCGGCCACTTTCAAGGAGCCTACCAATCTAATAAAGTATATTGGACGGTCATCACGGTGCTTTCTTTTATCATTTTTCAATCACATCGAGCCTTATCACTACTTCTATCCCATTCCTCTCCTACATCACTCATTTCTTAAAGATAAACAAGAGCATAGTCTCCCATTCTTAGATTCTGGCTAATTTAAATCCGGTCGATTCATCTGACGAGGCAGGCTCGATTCCGTTATTTCTAAAATTTAGTGGCAATGACGAGCCTCTGACCGGTGCAGTATACTAACAGTAGTTGTATCTCCCCACCGGATCCAATCATGGATAGAAAGGACGTCCGAGCCATAGGTATGATGCTTGTACCTCATTTTATAGAGATCGGTGCCAGTTACGACAGACCCCCTATTGAAAGAACCTTCAGGAGACATCCCTGAATGTATTACTAGGGATCATGCTAACTAGATGTCATTAAGCCGAAAATCGGACAGGAAAACAATTTAAACATTCCATTATATTCCACAAACCTGAGCCGCCTACGGCCGCTTTGGGTCGAGAACGGATTTGACTTCCAATTCAGGCCAGAAAATGGTGGGGGCGGGGAAGGGGATTGCACCTCAGTGTGATTGTCCAGTCTCCCGCCCCTTTCCTTCGTAACTGCTGACGGCACTAGGCTGGCCACCTGCCTGCCCTCGCAACTGCGTAGTCTACACTTCATGACCTCGCGCTCCGTTGCTCATATCACTACGCTGCCCACCGTATCATCTTTTTGACCACTAGAAGAACCCTCTCCACGCAGTTGCCGTCGGCGGTTTCGGTGTAATAAACTCTGTGAATGGTTCTTATCATAATGTTTGTAATATTTCGTGTTTCATCCGAATCCTATGAATATGCATCTTTCAGTTCTTACCAACACTGTTCAGTAGGCTAAGGCAAACGAACGATTCGAGACGTCTTACACAACTAAGTATGCATTATTATAGATATTTTCGGCTTCAAAGACGCGGTTACAAATTCCTCCGGCTGACAGTTGCATCTGTGCCACCCAAACCCGTATAATGTCCTAAACTGACTCTGGCAATGATAGTTGACGAGGAATTCACGTAAGTTTTCAAAAGTGATCTTTTACACCATTACTTTCTGCAGATCCGCATCAATTGATGTTCCTGTATGTGCGGAAAACTCAGAGTTGGCCATTTCAACTGCCGACGACGGGGTATCCTATGCATGTAACCATCAAAGACAGACCTGGATTAAGATAATTAAACTTGAAACCTGCAATAGGAGCGAGCTCTCGGGAATATTAACTTTTATCAGTCATCTACAGTCGCTTTCACCCTTCCGGATCCTTTCTCAGGAAACACAAGAGGCCGACAGGCGTGCATTACATAACACAAAGTGCTGTGGAGTATTCCTTCCGCAGTCTATATGCCTTAAAGACACAGATCTGGAAATTATTTTCCCCTTTTGCCCTGCCGGAAGCGCCTGTGACATATTGAGGCCACAAAGCGTTGATGGTGGCCTGCCGGAAGTGCTCGTAGCCGCAATTTTTGCCCGTGCCGTTCGCAGTTTAAACGAACTCCACTGCGCTGGCTGGTTGCATCGTGCCATTTGTGCTCGCCATTTGCTGTTTTGCAAAGTTGCTGAGGATTCAACGGAGTTGGATGTTGCGTTTTGCGGCCTCGGCAGCATGACACCTGTTCGGCCATTTGGTAGCCAAGCTTGTCGCAACGACCTCCCCATACTCGATGCCTGTTGGCGAGGCTGGCATTATCAAAACCTTTTGGAGCAGGCCTTTAGCACCCACCCTGTTGCATGGTACAGTCCCGAGGTGTTAGCTCAAGATTTCAGTGGCTATGGCACGCCCTCTGATGTATACAGCCTGGGCCTCACTCTGGGTGAATTGTTTACGGGCATCTCCCCTTTCGTTGGGACTGTTTCTCCTTCAGTAATCTTTCTGAAGAAATTGTGCCTAAAGGAACCACTAATACTCCCCAGTGTAAGTTCATGTCTCCTCTTCACGGAATTCATTTTATAAGTATATTCATGGAAGTTTTTGGCCCTCCCTTAATGGCATGCTTTTATGTCCCGACTTTTTATTTTATTTGATCGCTTTCGAGAAGCAGTTGATTGTTTTAGAAAAAATAAGCCCTGAGTAGAACACGAACCTGTTCGGTGTCGCCTTAAAGTTTCCACTCCAGACTCGGCTAGTCTCCATATATTCGGTTTCTGCACCTTTTTTGTCGCGCCTGTTCAGAGAGGAGCTAGCTCGAGTCTCAACTGAGTGAGGTAGCATAGAGGCCCCATTATGGAGAAGCCATTGTAGCTTAACTCCATGTCCTGATAGGAGCACCGGGTTGTCCTGTTGGTTGGAAGCTTCTCAAGCCACGGCCTTTGGCGCACCATGATAGATTCAGGCGTGTCAGACTATGTGTAGTGAAGAACATACTCTGAGATTCGACCTCACCCCTCTTTCCTCCTTTGAACCACATGAGTGAGAGCTACTAAAAACGTCCTCATTTGACCCAATTGTGAAAAACCCACGACAACAAGTCTAAGGCCTCATCACAGCCTACGCGACCAGGAGCAGTGTTTAATCCATTTGTTTGAAGAAAGCTCAACAACCATGTCCTTAGCAAACGAACCACCGATGTATCGAATAGGCCCGTGGCCATTCAAACGCGCCGATCTTAGCATCATCTGAATGAACTCATTGATCAACGTCAGAAACAGCCAATATGTGGGTACCTGCGATAATTGAACGAGCGGTTGTAGCCATTGGAGCTAGCGATCCAGGTAACCGCAGACGTGTTCACCGGGAGTAAGATCATCCTGAGATCATTAGGACAAGGGAGCAATTAAATGACTTTTGGTAGAAATTGAAATAGCACTGGCATTCTAGTAGTTAGGAACAGTTTTCATTACGACAGACCGGGCAAGGAGCTCGTTTTACGAGTCGTACACAAATAATGCTGACCATCTGAAGAGCCGATGGCCAGATGCCATGGCTCGCCAGAGGCCAGAGGATGGCTCAATTCTGCCCCCTGGGACCCTTTCTTTTCACTCCCATTGCTTGGTGCTATGGCGATTGCCTGATTAATGCGACTTTTAAGTCCGTCTGGTTGATATGTTGCGACGGCGTCAGGATGCATTACGACGAAGCTAACGGTGGCTGTTCCTACTTTCAGCTACCCGACCGTCCCCCAAGCCCGGAGCTTCAGCGCATTTTCAACATGTGCACTCATGTGAACCCCAGAAGACGCCCCACAACGGAAGCATTGTTGCAAGAGCCCTGGGTCGCCGCCGGCCTTAGGTACAACTTGACCGAAGATGACTTAACTCCCTTCAGGTGACCCTCTTCTGCCCTCCTCCCTGACAGACGCAGTTGTCTTCTTTCCCCTGCCTGCCCTCCTGTTTTCCTGATTGAAGTATGCTTAATTACTTTTATAGATTATCACAAAGGCACAGTCTTTGAACAGTCCCGTTTTTTTCAAATCATAGCCACCTCTTTGTGAAGGCGCTGCGCGATCAAAGCACATGCTGCTGGAACTTGTCATCAGAATTTCCTTGACTGTTTTGCTTAATACCGAGCTAGGCGGGCTGACGCTGCCCCCTCGACCACTACACTTGGGGGCGTTACGTGGTGGTTGATTCAGCAAAGGCGATTACAAGTGACGGCCACATGTAACGTGTACCTGACTCTCCACACCCCTTCAGCAGTCGGGTCCCAGCGCTGTATGTGTGCCGCACAAAAGGCTGCGTAGATTAGTGGTTGCATTTGATCAACCTGTGAGATACACGACCGCAACGGGTTTGTCTCGTAAAACACGCAGGCAAGTCCTGCGCACACAAGTCCGTGCAGCAAAGCAAATGCTGGAAATTTGTCTGTTCCGCGCTTTTCCTCCATGATCTTGCGAAGATCTCTTCACTCGGAAGTAAGTGGCAGAGACACCAAGTATACGGGACGTTGGCGACACAGTTCAGACCCATGGACCCACTAAAACAGTGCTTTTTCACCCTTTGCGTGATCACTGTCTCCCCCTGACGTGCCTTGCGGTTGGTATGCCGCAAGCTGGAACCACTGCCACGAGGATTTATTTATAGTGAAAAATGTGACTTGGGCAAGGAGAGATGGGGCGACAAAAGCGTCGTGACTGGATCCACGTGTGCGCGTACTCCACACGTGATCCCTACGCACAGCTCCGGAGGTTGGCGGTTTTTTTCTATCGGAGCCCTTGCAGTCTGATGCATACCGCATTATTCACCATACCGACAACACGGCAGCTTGGTTGTCCCGAAAACGTCTATCGTGCGCTCCACAGCAGGGTGAAAGCAGGGACGGCGACTTGCGCGCGCGTTAGTTTATGTTGGTAGTGGACTTGTGCTGCATCTACCGCACTCTCTCTCCCCCCACCTGGGCTCAGTGTCATGACCAAGTCAGGAAAACCGAAGATGGCTGGTATGGCGAAATCCCGCACCTAGGCGTAACACCACGTCCCCTGGTTCACAGAACATACTGACCAGGATTTTGTACCCCAAAAAAACAGGGGGCGGCTCGGATCCCAATGGGCGCGCCACTGCACCCCCATCTTGGCATTTATAGGTGCGCATTCCCTAGAACGCCTGCCGACCCCCTGTGTTGGTCCAACGCACCTACCGCCTGGCCAAAAGCCCAGGCAAATGGTTCGCATGGCACAGCTACGGAGAGTTCAGCTCATCAACGAGCCCCCCAGCGTTGCTCGTGCCCTTTCCGGTAGCCTGATACTTATTTCGGGGGATCGAGTTGCCCCATCAGTTGGTAACACCCTGAGGCCCCGATGTTCGACGTGTCGCCCCTTCCCTCCCCCCTACTAGTGGGATGTTCCGCCCGCTGGCGCAAGCCTACGTCCGTCGCACCTGGCCTGGTGCAAATGCCTTATCATGTCGTTAAAATAGACTGGTTAGTTTCGACATTGGCGGCAATTGTCGCTCCGGTCCTCATGACTGATCTGTACGACCACCTGCCGTGTGGATTAGCAATCAAAAATCCGTCCGAGTAGCTTGGAATTGGCGTGCCGCCAAAAATCATCCTCATGATCAATGCCTATTACCGCTCCACCACTGCGCGAGTTCTGGTCGGTAACAGTTCCAACCTTTCGATATTCGGTCGGGCGTTCGACGACGCCGTATCCTGCCGCGCATTCTGCTCAACTGTGCTATTGAGTGGATTTTTGGGAGGATGATGGTGTCGAGTTTGCACCCGGACACCGACTGACTGATCTCGACTATGCCGAGGATATCGCTTTACTAGCTTCAAGTTTTGGTGATCTGCAGTACATTGTGTCATGGTCGGTTTATACATAAACGCTGGGAAGATTAGTGTTTTCACACTGCATCCCTGACCAGGAAAAGGCACCTCTCGGGGTTGATGGCTGTCAACTTGAAGTAGACAGTTTTAGATACCTCGGAGCGAGGCTGCTACCAACTGGGCAGAGTAAGGGGTCGACATTGTCTCTTGAATTGATGCTGCCGACGCCTTACAAAATGCCCATGGGTCCGGCGCGACACCTCCATCGCCACCAAGATTCGCATGTACCGTGCATCTGTCCTTCTCTACGGTTGTGAATGCTGGGCTTTGCGGGTAAAGGACGAGCGAAAACTGGAGGTATATGACCACCACTACTTGAAGACCGTCCTTCGAGTGAAGTACACTTGTCTGCACTCGCCGCGACAGCATCGCGGTTTGGGCACGTTCTTCGTCGTCCATCTCAGGAGCTCAGCGTTACTGCTCTCTATCCGGCACCGTTACCCCATTGGTGGCGCCGAAGAGGGGATCAACTCAAAATCTGGCTCGACAGTCTGTCAAGACATGGGGGTGGTTCCTGGATCCGAGGCATTTAATCTCCGTCGTTGGCAAAGAAAATGGGTTAAACCGTCCCAATCTGCTGCCGCAGATCGTCACGCGTGGAGAGGTACAGTTCGGGACATCATCTAGGCCAGCTAGATCGAGGATGATCGCAGCCGTGTCAAGTACATGTAAGTTTTAAATTGGTACTTAGACACACTAACATTCGACCCCTTAATTTCCAGTTCGTACATCAGCAGCCTGACACACTCAAAATTGCACTTCTATCCGTGCAACTCAAACATGATCCACTATTTCTGCCTATTGACGTGAACACAGGAACAGTTCCACCTGCCTGACTATATAGTGAACCAATTACTTGGGCAGTCCAACCCGGCCTAGGAGCCCAAATCAATTGTTTTGGTTAAAGGTGCCACAGATATGAGCATGGCGTTTTCTGAAGTGCTGATTGAGACGATGGGCGACGTCTACTGTGTCCCGAAGGAGACGATGGTGTCTTTATGACAATTCAGGGGGCTGGCAGAACCACGCTTGAAGAGTTCCAGGACTAACATACGGCCCTCGAAATAGAACAGGAGATGGCCTGAAGCAAGCAATGAAACCATTCCTTGGCGCAATTTATGCAGAGGGAAACTGTGGAGGAGAATACAAGCTGTGAAAGAATCCGTTGATCCGCCCAGAACGACCCCGTGGCACCTAAAATAGAAATAAAACAGACTTGCCTGAATAAACTGCGAAACGGAGGTCTGACTTTATAGTCCGCGTTTCTGATCACGAGAAGACGCAGGCTGATCAGAGATGCCTAGACAACAGGCCGGTACGTGAAGATGCTAAATATTCTACACAAAGGGTGGATGATGGCTAACAGGTGCCGGGTGGCAGTAAGTGCCGGGTAGTAGAGACGCATAATTTGGTCAGATCACAGGACATGCTAAATTGCCCGCAAGAGTATCGTGATCACGCCGATCGCCGCTGACCATAATTGGGTCAGAAATAGCGATGCCGCCTGTTTCGTCGTCTTACCACATTCGTTACTAGTAGAGCCACAAGTCAGCGGGAAGCCCTTGCCCCGACTGCGCGATTCCGCGTCAGAGATCAACGAATAACGCAAACCGGGATCTACGCAGCTGTCACGTGTCATATATACCCCAGCATCCAAAGTGCAAATGTGCCCGAAATAGTTCGCGACTATAAGGGCTCGTTTTTTTATGAACATGGATTCTAGCCGAGTATCCTTCTTCGCACATGCGAGAGCTTGACTTGCGAGACAGCAATATCGAAACTACGGGTCATACAGACAATACAGCCCCTGCTACGACGGAGCATACAAGAGCTGCATTCGGTCGGTCCCAGTGCAGATATTGCGCGTGAGCCAAGACTGTCGAAAGCATGCGGCGCTCACTAGTCTAAGTACAAATGCGTGAGCAATGAACTGATAGGAAGGCGGCAAAAATTAGACACCTCGCCTTCGCAACTATCAGAAACAAAGTTCGACCGGTCAGACACGTAACGTGGATTTTTTCGATGGCTGCAAACGACTTGCCTAATTAAACCGGGGCGGATGAAATGAGATCGGCCGGAAAAACTGTTCCGTCGTAGAGAATGCCTGAGCGAGAAGCGAAGCCGAATTGCGATATTGTTCGGAAGCCGCGCCTGCCATTTCTGTATCGCCTCTGACGTCTGTGAGCTTTTACCTAACTTCCTCAGCTGGATGGTTTTTCACCCAATCACCTAAGTCGGACATCGGTTAGATGGTCAAGTTCACCAGATCGTGCAGGGTATAGGTGAAGATAACAGAAGTTTCCAACATGGCACCAGTGGCAAGCAGTCCCTGTTTATCAAAACGCCTGAAGCTGAGTTGGCTCTGGGTCTCAGGCTGCTAAACCCCATAAATGTGCATGCAGGTCGGGCGTTTAGACGTAAACAGGAGTAACGACATCGTTAAGCGTTTTCTGCTCCTCTTGGTAAAATAAACACGTTTCTCATGACTGCATAAGTGGTTGAAGACTGTCGACCCGCATCTTATTTCCTAAGTTAAAACAAAAAGCAATAGAATGGGTGCATAGCTCGTCTTCTTTTCGAGGTGGCCGGGAAAAACTTCAGCGGTCGCAATGAGATCGCGGTCTAAATAAAACAAGACCACAGCCTCACTTGCCTTCAGCGACGATAAATCTTATGATCCCAGCCGGCGAAAATAAACCGCCCACGGACCACCGGCAATAGGGACTCACCTCAAAACTTTTCTAGACGACACAGTGGACTGTCATAGACCATTCGAAGATCAATCTTAGGACCCATGAGATCCCGAATGTTCTTGTAGCCGTAGCGGATCATTGTAGGCCTGCAGGACACAGAAGAGAGCAAGTCAGGCGTTGATTAGTGCCTGTGCAATTCGGCTGCTATGAAGGCATGACTGCTCCTGAGTAACAGGCTCGAGAACGTGGAAAAGGCCACTTTTATCCAGGGACTGAGGAACAGCACAATAAATGCGCCGAAAAATCACAAATTCAATGAGAATCTACAAAGTGCACACCGAAATATCAGAAAGATAAATAGTCCTCTTGGCGTTTGGCTTGACTACATAAACTACCGGAACTGGCCGACGCGATCCGCTATTACGGGTCGCCAATATCATCGAGGCCCACCAGATCACAGTCAGATGGCGCATGAACACAGCGTGCCCTAATGTTTGGCATGACGTTGGAAGCATATGGAAGAAAAGAAGCAAAGCAACCAAGTGTAAAAGAACCGGTTTTGAGACAAGGAGATCGGAACCGATCATGGACACTCCGCGGAATCAACACCAAACACGCACAGGAGCTGATCTATCTTGTGTGTTCAATTAGGAAGGATTACTCAGGTGGGACTGGCAGTATAATTGCAAGATGTTTCAGTGACTCCAGGATGCCGGCTTTTAACTAAGCTTCTTTCCGGCCGCCTGCACCGGGTCAAACATAACCTACTACTACTACTACTACTACTACTACTACTACTACTACTACTACTACTACTACTACTACTACTACTACTACTACTACTACTACTACTACTACTACTACTACTACTACTACTACTACTACTACTACTACTACTACTACTACTACTACTACTACTACTGTTACTACTGCTACCGTTGCTGCTGCTGCTACTACTACTACTACAAAAATGGCTACTTAAGTAGCACGATATGTCCCATTAATTTTTGGTGCCCTCACTAGTTAAAATGTATCTTGTAGAAAACATTCGTAAAAGCACTTTTTTCTGGCAGCTACTTGGTAACGAATTACGACTTCAAAGATTTTATACCAAAAGAAAAGGACATCCCCGGTTTAGAAAGTTTGTAATTGAGTTTTTTTAAAACCATCCATAGAGCATCCTATCTGTTCATCCTTAATGGCGCCTAGGAAGTATAGGACATGGTTCACACCGATTGGAAAAATGAAATGACGTCTTTTTATTTGTATGGGGGAATTTATGATTTTCTTAACACGGAAAGAATAAAGCGCGTGGTCTGGAAGTCGGACGTGCGAGTATAACTGCAGGTCGGATTAAAGATTATTCGGGAAATCGAAGTTTTTTTAAAGAAAATCTGAAGATTCCCTTACTCCAAAGCAAAGAAGACGTAATTTACTGCCAGATATTGTCGTGTATTTTTCCTATAAAATACACTCAAATCTATAACGATACCGAAAATCAGTGGAAAAAGTGCCCACGAGAAGGAATATTCTGTGCACGCTTCCTATGAAATATACAGTGCGTGACCGATCTCATGAAATGATAGCCAAAATTCCGGAATGCGTTTCCGATGAGGAAGGATTACCTAAGTGGAATTGCTATACTGATTATCATGTAGCATAATCCTATAACATTTCGGACTCGCCAGGATATCGGCTTTTGAATGCACTTCTTTTTGACCTCCTACAAAAACCACAACACTCGGCAAAAAATGACTACTTATGTAGCATGCATTTTTCCTATTGATTTTCGGCGGTTTAATAAATTCAAATACATTTTATATAAAACATGCACAAAAATATGCATTCTTCGGCTCATTTTGTGGGAAATCACATTGTCTTCATATTTTATGCCCGAAGAAAGCGTGTATGTAGGTTTTAAAAAAAGTTTCTAATTATGAGATTTCTAGGACCGCGTGATTCCCATGCATGCGAGACCGCACACGCCCGTTTACCAAAGCTCCTTATGAAATGTACAACACAGTCCGGATACACTGCAAAATTTCATGAACGCTATGTGGTATCTTCTTAAAGGCATAGAGGAATATAAGACTTTCCTTACGCGAAACGCACGAACCTTGTAGACTGAAACTGCTAAATGCTGATGTAATGGCAGATCAGGCTGAAAATTATTAGGGAATTGGGAAATTTTTTCAAAACTAAATACACACGTTCTTCGGGCATAAAATATGGAGACAATGTGATTTCCTTCCAAATGGGCAAAATAAAGCATATTTTTATGCATGTTTTCCATAAAATATATTTGAATTTATAAGACCAATGAGAATCAATAGAAAAAAATGCATACTATTTAAGTAGTCATTTTTCACCGAGTGTGGTTTCTGCAGAAGGTCCAAAAGAAGTGCATTCAAAAGCCGATATCCTGGCGAGTCCGTAATGTTATAGGGTTAAGCTGCATGATAATCAGTATAACAACCCAACTTAAGTAATCCTTCCTAATCGGAAACGCATTCCAGAATTTAGGCTATCACTTCATGAGATCGGTCACGCACTGTACTTGAATTTATAAAGGCAACGAAATGTACTGTGAGGCATTTATACCACGCAAGTAGTCAATCAATAGCGAGTGTGGTTTTTACAGGCTACCAGAAAGTTCATTCAAAGGCCGATATCCAGACGTGACTGAAATATTTGGAGACTATGCCGCGCGATAATCAGTATTACAACACCGCCACAGCAATTCACTATAATCGAAAATAAATGTCAGAATTTAGGTTAACACTTCATGAGATCGGTCACCGACTGCAGTTCAGGTGGGGGATGGCGTGGTTCAAACTAGAATTCCGTCATGCTCTGGAGCCCACCTCCAGAAGCCGCGCAGGCAATCGTACAGAGAGGAGAAATCAGAAGTTGAGGAACATTAGGAGGAAATAAAGCAGATTGAAATGAATAATTTTCGGCTTATCTGTAGAAAGCATTCTCCTAACGACGGCACATGGACTTTGCCCCCACCCTGGCGTTAAATGGGGGCTTGACCCACAACCTCATATACTGTGCTCCAGTTTGCTACCAGTCGTCCGATGAACTGGAAGAATAAGACCGACCCAGGTCAGATCGGGCATTTAACAGGGTTGATGCGCTTCCGAAAATGCCACAAAGGGCTAAGTGTCGTGATTCGGAAGGCTGTCGCCCGATGAACTAGCTGAAACGTTCTGTGGGACGAGAGACGGACAGCAATGGCGTAGACCACCGTGCCAAAGCTTACAGTAGGTGGGCTAACTCATTAAATGTCAACCGAAATTCCGAAATGCGTTTTCGTTTCGGCAAGATTAATTAAGTAGAGTTGTAAAACTAGTCAGCCTGCAATATAATTTCATAATATTTAACTTACCTCAAGATGCCGGTTTTCGAATGAACTTCCTTCCGGCTGCATGTGAAAACTACTCTAAAAATGGCTACTTAAGTGGCATGAATTTTTCTCATCACTTTCGGAGGCCCCTAAAAGTCCAATTATATTTCATGGAAAACATGCATAAAAATATTCTTTATTTTGCTTACTCGGTAGAAAATTACGTCTTCTTTTAATTTTATACTCGAAGGAGGGACATAATTCGGTTTTGGAAAAGTTTCTAACTGTGGGAATTTTAAACACCGTGAAACGGCCGTTCATAAATTGTCATATCTCTGCATTTACCAATGTGGCTTGTCAAGTTAACAATGTGGGTCAAATTTACTGCCTAATTTAATGAACTCTATATGGTCCCCCTTTATTACCGTAGAGAAATGTGCGGCTTTTCGTACGCGGAAAATATACGGCTTGTAGTTTGGAAACCTTGAATAAAAGTGTGACGGTAGAGCGGGTTCAAAATTATTCGGGAATTGGAACAGTTTTTGAAAACCGAATTATACCCTTCCATCGAGTATAAGATTGGAAGAAGACGTAATTTTCTACCGATTAAGCAAAAGAATGAATAGTTTTATAATGTTTTCCATGAAATGTAATTGGACTTTTAGGGGCATCAAAAATCAATGAGAAAAATTTAAGCTACCGAAGTTGTCATTTTTTACAGAGTTCAGTTTTTGCATGTAGTCGGAAGGAAGTTCATTCGAAAGTCGGCATCCTGAGATAACTGAAATATTATAGAATTACGTTGCAGGCTGACTATTTCTACAATCCTACTTAATCTTTTCGAAACGAAAACGCATTTCGGAACTTCGGTTGACATTTCACGAGTTAGCCCACCTACTGTATTTCCAGTAGGCATGGCCGAGGCTCGGCAATGGCAGGGGGTGCCAAGCTTCTTCACTATGAACGACTAAATGCGTTCCGACACAATCATTAAGTGATAAAAGCATTTGAAAATTAAAGGGAGACTTGATCGTCCCAATGACTGCCATGAAGCGGAGATGCCATGTCCTTCTCCGAAGACTGAGTTGCACGTGCACAGATGGGGGGGGGGGTTAGTTGCGTCAGTCAGCTAGACCCTCTTCTCCCAGGAGCAGCGTAGGAAGTGGGTTAAACAGACGCTACGCAAGCGAATTCACCGCTGCCCTTACGGACATTGAGTCAAAACGACAGCCGTGATAACTCAAAAACTTCACAAAAAGACAACTCATATATTCGGTGACCGTATTGCCAAATCACCTTCGGGTAATGATTTGTAGGCGTGATATAATAAAAATACAAGGTCTAAACCACAAGCCTGTCCATAGCCGAGGCCTGTGGCCGACTTTGGTGGACTTACCGTTCAAGAGAGAGGCCCCAAGCAATGGCGGTGACGCCCTCTGGAAGACCCATCGGCCGCAGCATCTCTGGCCGAAAGATGCCCGAATTGCCGACCTCTACCCACTTGCCCAGACCTACAAGGTGTACACACGCACATACAGACAGGCCTTACAATACGGAAAGGAACGCAAAATTCCAGAGAGAACGGCGATTCTTACCTGGGTGGTAACTAAAGATCTCCATACTGGGCTCTGTGTAGGGGTTGTAGGCGGGCTTGAAACGTAGTTTACTTAGGCCCAACTGATTGAAGAAGGCTCGAATGACGGCCTTCAGGTGTCCCAGACAGAGACTGTAGTCGGCAACCACGCCCTCCACTTGATGAAATTCGGCCAGGTGGGTGGCGTCCAAAGTCTCATTGCGGAAGACCCGATCGATACTAAAGTACCGCACGGGAGTGAACTGTTTCTGGAGGGAGAGGAGAAGTAAACATGCCATGTTTCTTGCAAAGTATGCCGAACAGACTTGAAAATTCAACTATGCGATTACTTTAGGCGCATTTCGGTGGGGAGGTTGGCTCACCCGGAAAATCAAAATGGATCGGATGTGTTAGTGCAACAAAAAGCGACTGCAGCTTTTGCTTACTGTTCAACAGATCAATGTTGACGTTTTGAAACACACCAGTGAGGTAATTTCAGGTTCTTTTGTGCTAGGGACATGGTACAATAAAGAATCCCGTTAAACACAGAAACTCGGAGAGGTCGGCTACTTAGCCGGAAGATTTTCCGCATATCTCAAAGGGGGGAGCTGGGAAAACTGGAGTTTTTCGAAGTGTGGGTTGTCGGACATCTATCGGTGTAAGTGAAGAAGATGGCCGATCGAGCACCAAAACTGTCTGTATGTTACTCTGAGCTTTCGAAAACATGAAGGGACGTATCGTCGGAGATAGCAAAAACAACAGAATTAGCGACAATTAGAGCGTGCAAGCCAATCATCGATCGACTCCCACGCTGGAAACAAAACAGGTCGGGAATTGATTGAAGCCTAGGCCTTGGACGAGAACTCAGTCAGTCGATGTATTGATCTGGTGCCGGCGTACAAAGCCCCTTGCGCAGTCGCCTCCAGTCTTGCAGCATTTATTGATTATTGGTTAACACACCCTATAATTTTCGCATGTTCTATTGTTGCTATGATCTCTGGCGACGCATTCCTGCACGAGTTCGGGAGCTCAGAACAATAAACAGACTGCTTTGGTGCTCGATCAGCCTTCTTATTCTCCACTTATACATACACCTGGAACTCAAACTTTCGCCTCCACTCTACCAGCATCTCACGACCGACAAGTGCGCTGCATATGAAGCAGAAACGCGGAAGTTTGGATTTTGAGAAAACAGATCATGACGACTAGTCTGGCGCTGTTTTGATATAGAAATGTGAACTGAAAGACGGCGTACACGCACACCGGAGAATTGGGGTCGAGTTAACGGCTGCCCTGAAAGCGGAAAAAACAGACTGTCTGTAACTGTTGCCTTGTATTGTAGGAAGGGAGTGCAGCAATCGGGCCTAGGGGAGATGTGGTCGTCCGGTCGCGAGTTAGGGCCCAACCCAGAGTCCACGCAAGAGGCCGCAATGCTGATCGGGCGTCACCCTAGCGATCCGCCCACGAGTTGCTCGCGTACTAATGTTGCGCCAGGTCTCCACAGTTAGGTGAGCCAGAAGTTCAGCCGGCACACTGGCCACGCACGGGTTGGATTGGACACGCCCGCACGTTCCTGGTGTCCTAGCTGTTGTGTACTGATTCGAAATTTGAGCGCGCTGTTGGATGTCGGTCAGCGGACGTAAGGGAATGTGTACAGAAAAGAGTACCGAGCCTCCTTTCCTGGCAGTATCCCAGGAATCTTCAGCTTAACAGACATTGATTCCAACGCTTTGATGAGTACTTCCCACTTTGAACGACCAAAAAACATACAGGCTTTCCAAAGCAAGCCTTACCTTCCGGATTATTAGTGGCTTGCAGCAAACCGCGCAGCCAGGGCAACCCTACCGTGCACGATCCGTTCTGACGTTCTGGCAGAAAACACAAACGCGTTATGCTTTTAAGTTCTTGACGAATTGGCCTGACGCTGACATTTGACTGGTCTGGACTAGCGTCCACAGCTTCTGAATTCTCTCAGAGTCTTCATATAGTTTACAGCCTTCGCTTCGAGATTAACGATGCTTCCGTGATCGCTCCCACGGATATTTGTCTCGTACTGTGAGTTGCAACTACCTTCTTGACCAGAACAACTAACAATCGATAAACCAGACCAGCAACGAATACTGGAGTGGCAATTTCCTGCCCCATCAACCAGGCTGAATGTTCCATGGTTAGACGCGAGTCGGCTAGGCGTTGCGCACTCACAAACTCAAGGCATGTCGGCCGAAATCGAGGACGTTCAGCCGCATGGAGCGGTGTGTACCGATCTTTTCTGATTGCAGAACAGAACAAGAATGCCTAGGCATTGTCTCTAAGCCGATAATTGATAGCTCGCCGCAGGCGGTGGTATCATGACGACCAATGGAGCAGTTTTACCGACACTGGAGCGGCTATGGTAGTCGGTGACACCCACAGGCCAATTGACAAAGAGCTGAGTCCTAGTCAAACGCCGAGCTGACATTTAAAAAAAAACAGAACAGTGACGTTTGCCGACTTATTCTGACTGGAGGGCCGAAACGGGCAGCTCTGTTCTGTCCTGAGGGTGATAGATCGGGAACACACGCATTTAGAAGCATATCGACTAGTAATCGGCAATCAGCAAGTCTTACTGTTTAAAACATCAAACGCGGTAAAATGGTTATTTCTGGGAAACTTGCTGTCCCCAACCGACGATGCCCCAACCTCTGGAGGTTAGGTGTGACAAAACCAAACGCAACTAACAAGACGTTCCTTTGAATGTGCCGTGGAGCGATTACGAGAGAACCGTAATGTGTAAAGCAATTGGGAGAGCTACGGATGGCCTTTTGAGCGTCGAAAATGCAAAGGACCCTAGTTGTTTGTTTTTAGAAAAAAAACTTAATGGGGTATACAATCGGCACGAGTGACAGGTTGGCTCTAACCAACAAGACGTGCTCAAACAACCAAAACAGTGTTGTCAACAGTGAAACAACTCCCTGGCAGTAGGCTTCAGGTGGTAGTTAAGGTGCGCATAGAGTTTAAGACACTTCAAGGACAGGGTACGTGAATGTAAGCTATTTCGGCCTTTTTGTACTACCATGTCTCAATCTAATGTCTTCGCTTGCACTGACAGAACAGCCGTCCATTATCTCGCCAATTTGCTGAACGGCCAAAGATCTGCGATGCCTCATTTCGGGCGTGCATTCACAGTGATCAACCAGGGAGCCAGGGGTCAGTAAATCTATGTCAATATACTCTGCCGAAGCGAGTGTTAACATTATTAGCGCTCGAATTTTACGCCTAAAACGGGCGACGCGGCAGATGCGTCCGACAGGCGTCATCGGAATGTGAGTGCGGGCCTACTTCTCGTGTCAGTCACCTGCGCCGTCTTCCGCGTGTCCGTTCTTCTTGACTTGCCCATGGTACCGGGCCCAGATGAGGGAGGATAATGTGAGGTGGATGCTGCGCAAGTCTACTATTGCATAAGTCAACATTCCTCCTCTTATCCTGCTGTGGAGCGCACCGTGAACACCGTCGGCAACGACGACCGAAGCGTTCATAGGGAAGGACAGTCTATGTCAGGCAGATAGGTGGTGCACGCACATTTGAAAAAATGAACGCCCAGATGGCATTTCACGTGGGCGGAGGGTGAGGGGAAGGGACAGGGGAAAAAAAGGCAAACCTGCTGTGCAAGGAGATAGAGCATGCGCGAAGTGACAGCTGTAGTGTGAGTGCGCAGGATATTCTTTTCGGCCTCGGAGAGCTGCCAGTTATAATGATAGCCTGTGGAGCCGTAGCCACCTGTTTCATGCACGGTCTTGACACGGTTGAGGTAGTCTGTCGGGCAGTGGGCCTTCACATCAGTTGTGGCTGGATCTATTTCAAAAAGGCGAGATGGCGAGGAAGGCAGGGGAAGTGTTAGGCATCGGTAAGGGACAGAACCGTCTTTCACAGATTCTATCGATCAATAAAACGGCTAAACATTTCCCTTAGCAAGACCTGTACGCATCGGAGGTGGATTTTTGAATCTCTAGATCCCAGACGAACACCAAGCTGTCAGTGAATGCTATCAGTACCTATGTCAAATATGAATAAATAATTTGTTGTATGTGAGGCAAAAAAGCCCTTTCCAGTGGCCATGTGGTCTAAGACCACGAGGGGTGGAAGTTGCATAGGAGATCAGACGGTAAGGGACGTTTAACGGCCTAAATAGAGAGAAACAGGCGAGACTATAGACCCGATCTGCACCGTATTTCAACAAATCGTCATGTTTAGGACTGCCTTGGCCAATGTTGGAGCAAGCCGACACAAGTACCTAAACAGGTACGAAGTGCTGAGAGTCTGGTGACATACAATTAGGAAACTTTGTGCGGACAACCCGTTAGTACCCGTTGAAAAAATGGAATCAATTAGCGATAACAACAGCCAACAAGCTAGTAGCAGAAGTTACAGTTAGATTTTTTGGGAATGCTGTTCACTTTTGAGCGCAGTTGTTGGCAGCCATATTCGATGTAGACTTTGACTCAGTTGACAGAAGTGGTCTCGATAGTGGGCAACAGAGGCCGATCGTACGCTCATGGAAATATGAGACACTGTCAGGCGTATTACTGGTTTAAACCCATCCAGGGGAAGTAGGGAAGCGCAAAAATGACAACTATGAACCTCAAGTAATTGGCCTGGAACTAAATCAGAGACGAAATCGTGAGGGGCAAAGATCCCGAATTCCCTCCCGTCATTCCTTCATTCGAAGATGTCTCTGAGGGTATCGTCAAAATATACACGATATGATTTGGAGTGGTAGCAAAGGAGGCGATCCGATCATTGGACTTCCCAAGTTGTTGACGGTAAATATAGGTCTTAAGGACAATGGCTGCATTAGCTGTTTACCTGAAAGGAAGAAGGTGTCATGTGCATCACGTGCGGGATGGTGCTGGGGTTGGAAGAGGGTATCGAAGTTCCAGAAGCTGCATTCCACATAGTTGTTTGTGGGCATCTCCGAGAACCTGTAAATATGGAGGAAAAAATCTGAACGGAATAGTGCGCGTCAACTGCGTCGAAAAAAATATACGTTAAGATGAGCATATAAATGAATCTGTTTAGAGAAGTAAGATATGACGTAAAGGAACAAGTTGGTTACCAAGGCATTTTACTATCCGAAGTTATTAAAACGACAGCTTGATGCTACATCTGTTTTAGAAGAGCCGAACGACCGACACAACCCAAATAAATCAAGAATATATAAAAAGGAGAATTAAATTCGAGATAGAGCTGGACGATTGTTTCGCTTTCTGGACGACGAAGTCATGTTCGTGAAGTTGTTATGTAATCCTAAAGTACATGCGTCACACAGCTATTGTGTCTAGGTGAAATTCAGTGCTCAAACCACGAAATACACCTCACCCCATGTCCATAAGGATCCTCCGGAACTCGGCGCGCACTCGCAATAAGGGATGAAGATGACCCATTGGTTGAGGAACGCCCAGGGCTTTGAAGTTGTACTTTTTGAATTTGCACTCCTGCCAAGAACCACTGCAAGGTAAAATAAAAACAATTATCTACACATGACGCGAAGTTGCGACCCGAATGCTTCCACATAAATCAAAAACGGATGACCTAAGGAGAGGTTTTCAGTCTACGCCAAAATTCAAACCTGAGCCAGTTACGAAGCTAAAGGAAGGATACGACTAAAATATGCCCTAGAACCCTTAATAGGCCAAATAATTATGTAAAAAGTATTTAAAACTAATTTGCTTCCACTGTTAAATCTAAATAACCTCGCAGAAGTGGACTTTCAGCGTCTACGTGAAGGAGATCACAGAAACTAAATCGGGTCTTACGTCGGTTTCAGTCGTTTAGAATCCATAAAGAATTGTCATAATTGGAGTTAAACTGCATTAAATCTTCAGCACACATTATTTAGAGATTACGTGGACACACGAAACAGTAAGAATGAATGAAGAAGAGGCAAGATGGTATCTTACGTTAAGATCATTTCTGACGTGAGATCCGTTTCTTCTTTTGACCGACTGGTGGAAAACAACTTGCCCTTTTTGAGTCTGTAGATGGTAACTTTTCTGAGCGAAGAATAAAAGAACGGATAGACAACTCACTTCTCTGCGATGAGTTTACGTTTTTTGAGTTCGTTTTTCTCCTTTGCATCGCATGATTGGAGATTCTCCAAAGAAGCTTTGACCTCGTCAACTACCGAGTCGGACTACAGGGCCTTAGACAGTATGAAGGTCTTACGGCTCTCGTGACAAGTTGTGTATTTTCGGGAGTTTTTGTCACACGTATCCATTTTGACGCAAGGGCTTTACTTACGCCCATTTTGGCGTAAGGCGAGACTTTCTACAAAAATCTACAAACCCATATGCGTACCATAAGATTTGGCATCAGAATGCCATCCTCGGGAACTGACGAATAAACGACAAATTCATGACTTCCATGTGTAACCACATACTGGCCTTCATCGGTAAGAGAGAATTCAGTCTGAACAACCGGCTCAGCCTCTATCAGCTAAATTCGTAATTAAGGAATATGTTAATTCACCCCCTCGCTTTGCAAAAGGCTATTTATGCCTCCCACTACGGTCTGGTGGTCTATTTTTAACGACGCGGCTGCATCCGTTGATGTTATACAGTCAACTCCTGCCAATAACTGGAGAAGTTTCTGGGACACATCCATGCGGGAAACACGAACTCCAGAAGTGAAATAATGTGTCTTTCTAACAGCTCACTTAAAGCAAAAGCTTGAGGTCGGTCGTTTAGCGCACATGTGGATAATTTAACCACGCAACACTTTTATTCCCGTATCAATGTGTTATTTTGAAGCACTAAACAGATGGTCGTTTAGATCTAAGCTATGTTCAGCGCATTGATTCTATAGCGCTCGCATAGGTTTAATGTTATATTTCTGCCCAAACATATATTATCTCAGCAAACTGAAAAAACAAGGGGGAGATTTGTGGTCATACTGAAAGTCCACCGGGGTTTTTCGTTTTTGACAAGCTAGGTTTATACAGGAGAGAGTAGGTTTTGCTAGATGGAAAGACGAGGGGCAGTATTGAAACGTGGAGTAAACGGCGATAAAAAAAAAGCTATCGAAAAAATCCGACGTTAAAGAAAAGTAGGACAGAACAAAGAAAATAGCATGTTACTGAGGAAGATAGAGAGAGGAGCTTTTGTTTGTTTAAATGGCAAAGGCTTCACGGTGGTGTGTTTGACATAGTGAATCTCGCTACGTTTATCTTCCTGTAACACACTGGTTTTTTGGGCCTATCGTATGATACGCTGTTCGTTAGCGAAGAAGACCTTATCGAGGAAAGCATATGTGTATATTTCACTTAGTCATTTAACTTTCCAATAACCATATTGCGTTTGAATTAGACAAAATTCATGTATATTTTAGCCATTGAAAGAGGGTTTTATCAGCTCATTTTGGGTTGGTGCAATAGAACAGACCAGGGAGACTGATAAACATCCAACGTTCTTTCATCATCAGGCAAGTATGGAGACTTTATAAGTAAATTAACCACTACCTTCGAAATTTCTTCCTGTATTTTGAGAACAAAATCACTGGAATATCATGCTGCCCTGAGATTTCATGTCAGTAATCTGGAAAATGGAACGAAAAACCAGCAGGAGATGCTAGATCGCTTTTTCTAATATAAGTCGAGGTGAATTTGGAAGGAAATTACTGTGCTTCTTTGAAAACGAATGAAAATTAAGACGACTTCATAAAGCACGGCGTCGTACGCGCTGAGCTAAAACACAGAGTAAGCATCCAGCAACCTTATGCGACGCGTGGGTCTGCTTATATTAAGATAAGAGGAAGAACCATACGCTGCGTGATCTGCCTTGTAAGTATTCATTTGTGATAAGATAAAGTCCGTGAATCAGTGTTATCCGTACCGAATTTTGAGTCTTAGGCTTTTATGGTATTTCTCTTAACTGTCCGATTGTCAGCGACAGACTCGGCACTGTTAATCATTTAACAAGTTGATATTGGTACAAAGTCACCTCCAAGTGGCAACCATATATGAGACTTATCGGTATACTCATTCGCTTGGAGACTACCTGTGGGGTTCAAGGTCGATACCCAAAGCTCAACGGGCAAGCAAACCCTGTAGAGTAGTCGGTGAGAGTCCTCTCCCATAGTTGATATACCCGCTCGCAACAAACAGGACAACGAGTCCGTGGCGAAATTTTTGACAAATAAACTGTTTTATTTAGAAAGTTGGACTTATAACCGGTAGAACGGGATTTTAATCCTCAGAAGTAGCAAATCTGGGGTTGGATATGGCTGCTCAGGAATATGCCTCCGCTACCGGTAACCAAACCTCCTCATTCGAAACCTTGGATAAACTGCTATATGGGGACATGAACAACACATTGGAGAGTGCTATCCAACAAAGTTCATCTTCATTTGATTTATTAGTCCTGAAAGTTAAGAACGAATTTAGGCGAAAGCACAATTTTTACTGCCCAGCCTTCTGAACCACTGGTCCGCTATCGAGGACTCCTGCTTCACTCTGATATGTTGTTGTTTCGTATTCGGAGACCCACATGCTAACCGACTACATTCCCTCACTCTAAACGCTCAGTAATAGTTAAACCTTCCTTTTTGGCAAAGGCTGATTTGGTCTTTTCGAGGGAGGAGGTGAAAAGGAGGATTCTGCCACAAGTAACACTGTTCAGTTTCGTTCGAACACACATCGTTGAAGCGAAAGTTGGAAAGCTTGAATTCGTCGGCAATTCATACAGATTGTTCAGCCACTATTGTCATGTTAGTCAAGTTATTTTCAAGGTCTGCTGCGATCTCGCCTTCTCCTAACTCCGTCCACTCTGTAGAGAATTCGACCACTGTCAATCTTGGCGAATCCTGAATCAACAATAAGTGCTTTGAACCCACAACCCACGAATAACTCAAAATAAACCAGAGCAGTCACTTAATTCCAAAGCCGATCTGATTGTAATTTCCCCCACTCGAACACAGAAGAAGTCCAGCGTCTGTAGGAAATCCTTCCCTTAACACCGCCAGCACAAGCATGACGCATTACCATCCACTTGCAGACATTATAGCGGAGATCCGAAACCCTGTAAGCCATAATTCGTGTTTCAGAATATCTCTTTCGCCCAAACTGAAGCAGTGCGCCTTCCGCCCTCCAGAGCCTTTTATCCACAGTCACATTCCCAGTGTAATCCTGACGCGAAATTCCTTCTGTCCTCGGGAACTCGTCCAATCCTCACTGTTACCTTGGCCAGAGTACAGTTCAGTATCCTACCTATGAGCCCCCTTAGCAAACTCAGCTAACTGACGGTAGTGATCGGTTTTCCTATCCGCCAATTTCTTTCTCAAATATTACGTCGGGCGTTCCCGATGCCAAAAAAAACATTTTACAGGGCCGGACGGAAACATCCGATGCCTATTTCTCGTAGACATTCAGCCATCGAATGACTTAGCTTATTACAATAAGAAACAAACTGTTCGCCCTCCTGAACATCCGTTCTGAATGCCAAGTCATCTAAGTTCGTTGTCAAGATAGAATCCCGATGACTGGAGGCAGGATCGTGTCAGATGGCAACATTTGAAGCCATAGTTTTTAACGTATTGGAATATTTCAAAAGTGTCGATTATTTATAGTGAGGAATACTCGCTGAGAGGGTCTAGAGTCCGCCGTCCGAGCCGGTCTATTAACTGAGGTTGGGACTGGACACAGTGACTCACAGTGGTTAAGAACCCTTCTGTGTATGAAACGCACACGGACTGTCCACCCACGCATAATACATCAAGATTTCACACAATGGTAGTAGACCGTTTGGATCCAGTGTGCATGCAAATAGCTGAGGGGCCACATGGTTAGAGGGCCGAAGATCACGCTTTGTGCGCTCGTGAGACGGGTTTGGTCCGTTCCGGAGGTGTGTGATTTTGTGTTGGTGGGTAAATATGGACTGACATGGTTTGCTCTATGGTGTTATACCGCAGAATTTTGTAGAGGCACATGTTACCGAGTAAACTCATGAGATGGCTAAATGTGCGAGGTAACGGCGGAAAGCTGAGGTGCTGAAGACGAATATATGCCGAGTCTCCAGTACTGGTGCGCCAGTCTCAATGCGGCGGATTCGCTAGTGACCGACTAGGCCGATACGTAATGTTATCTGCGGTGGCAATATAGGCGACATAGTTTGGTAGCTGCAGTGTCGGTCTCGGTGGCGATGCTGCTAGTGGTAGCCGAGCTGGTGGATGGAAAGTTAGTAGTATTGAAGATTATAAGTGTTTCCAGGTGTGAAGTGTGGCTCGGTATGTCAGTGTTTGGGTGGTTTCTGTTATCACGGATATGCCCGTGACCGAATAGGCCCATGCAGTGGGTAAACGTGCGTGGGTAGTGCGGACAGTGGGGGCCGGATGCGACGAGTGTGTGCCGCGATATCTGGAAGTGGTTTACCGGTCACAGTAACCACATGTGCATGTATGTGTATACACATGTTATATCAGTAATAGCAGGGGGCAATCACCGATCTCGTAACAGGATACACACGGCCATTTGTGCCTTGGGACTCAGTCTCGAATCCCGCCAGCAGTCATTCGGCCGCTAGTATTACAGGCAGAATGACATTACCTATAGAGGCAGAGAGACAGCCATGAGCACTTCTGGATTAGTAGCCGTCATCAGACAGCAATACTTAACTCCAGGTTCTGCAGCCCTTTGTCCATACTTCGGGGCTGGGTATGACTGGCTGGCGACGGCTAATAAGACAGAAATGGCCGCCCTTGTCTTTGTCGGTAGTAATATTCTGCCCACATCCTGCGCCGCTGCGCGGATGCTGGTTGGATTCGAGAGAGTCCGTAAGGCATAGCGGGAGGAGTGATTTCCGTCAAAACGATCGGTGACCTCCCCTCTACAATATGCATATAAATGTAAAGTAAGCCTTTGACTCTCACTGTTGTGTTTAGGAACTCAGCCGATTCCATTCCCTCCGCCCGCCACGATTGACGCTTCCAATGTCGCAGAAGGCGCAGTTCTCCAACAGCACCTTGCAGGTCACACCCAACCATTAGCTGTCTTCTCCAAAATGTTACCACCTGCAGAGACGCGCTATCGCACATTTGGACGGGAGCTCCTTGCTGTCTTCCTCGCCGTAAAACAGTTCCGGCACTTCCTCAAGGGCGGGGACATCCCCGTGTTCACGGACCAAAACCCCCTTTCATTCGATCTGAAGTCCACTTCTGGCGGGTTCGACCGCCGGAGATTTGCCGATTAGACTACATCTACACAGGCCGGGCTTGTTCGGCCCGCATATGTTCCGTTTCATGTGCGGCAGTTTTTTCGCTTTAAAAGTTAACCGATTCATAGTTATAAAGTTTTTTTCATACGAAGTTTTCTTCATTGCTCGCCAACCGTTTTTCCATGTAGCAGTTTATTCTACAACCGAAAACTGAATAATGTACAGATTCTCTTTAATTGCTCTGAAATTTATTGGAAAATGTATATTCACTTGCTATGACGAGACCCTCAAGGGTATTTTAATAAAATCATTTATTTATTTAGTTCGCCTCAGATATACGCACATCGTCGGGTCACGCAATGAGATGGCTAACGCACGGTTTAGGCCCTCAATCGCACAACTTTAACTTTCTCCCGGTATCGACCTAGCTGGGATGACTATCAGACACAACCATGCTGGTACTACCTGTGACGAAGACGTTACCGGAAGCTAACTCCAAATAACTGCCGCTGACTACTGGCAACGGCACCACTCTGTGCAATGCCTCCAGCATCTTCCACCGTCCCTTTTTACCGACATTCCTTCACCGCAAGGTCTTCTCCTCCCAGCACAACATATCGCACCCTGAAAGTCGAGCTGCCTACGAGCTGATTTTCACCGCTTCCTCTGGCCTGGGATGCACAATGACCTGAAAGCATGGACACGGGCGTGTCTCGGCTGTCGACGGAATAAGGTTCAACGACACGATAAAGCTCCTATCGGATTCTTCCTTACTCCGGATGCACAGTCCAGTCATGTCCACCTGGACACGGAAGGCCCCCGGCCTCTGTCTAATGGCTGTTCCTATCTCCTCATCCGCGTGGGTCGATTCACCCGGTGTTTGGAAGCTATCTCTCTACCCGATGTTACTGTCCCAACAGTCGCCAAGGCTTTCCTCGGTCTCTATGTTGCCATTTTTGGCGCAGCATCCACTATCACGACTGACCGCGGCGTCCAATCTAAATCCAATCTCTTCCAGTCTCCTTTTTCCTCTTTAGGCTGTATTCACATTCGCACTACTGCCTACATTCCGGCAGTCAACGGGATGGTCGGGCGGTTTCGCCGCCAGTTGAGGACCTCCGTACGCGTCGCAGACGATCCAGAGAACTGGACGGACTAACTTCCCCCGGTCCTGCTGAGCATCCGCTCCTCTCTGAAGTCCGAACTTGGCTGCTCCTCCGCTGAAATGGTGTTCAAAATCACCATTCGACTGTTCGGTGAGATGATCTCGCCAACCCCGCGAGGTGTGGTCGAGGATCCCGCCAACCTCCCGCATCGTCTCCCATAATTTATGCGGACACTATCTTCGGTTCCGCCCAGGCCATCCGTGTCGAGTCTTACTTCGAGAAAGACTTGGCGACATGCCCTCATGTCTATATCCGGTGTGATCGAGTACGCCGCCCCCTTCCGGGTTATTTCTTGTGGGATGGAGAGCTTTCGCACCCAAAGCGGAAATCATGAGGAGGTCGTGAGTGTGGACCGTCTCAGAGCTGCCGTCCCGGACATTTTTCTGGATGAGCCTTGTGGTGATCTACGCCCTGCTCCAACTTTCCGATCCCGTATCCCTTTGTACCGTATACTCCCTCCTCGCACATGTCCACTGCTCCGAATGCAACTACACCTCATCAACTTCAAATACTGTAAACGCAAGCCGTATTCGTTCTTCTCTTGCGTCCCCTGGATATATCAACCGTAGTGGAAGCACTGTTTATTTTCCTGACCGTTTGGTTACTCCTGTCTTTTAAATATTAACAATCACCTCGGCGCAGTTACACGCCGTTGCTGGTCTAACCGAGGGCACTCTAGCAGTCCGCGACTCCTAACTCACCATCGCTTTATCGGGCTGCCCTCCTGTCTGCCTCCCACTCCCTGTCAGATCGCTGCTGGAACGCGCGAGTCTTGTCACATGTCTTGCGAGAGCTCGCGACCAAGCAACACTGCCTTTTCTCTGATTGGCTGGCAATACGGAGGCAGAGCAAAAGGCGCACACACGCGTTGGGGTCTAAGCACCTCAATGACGGGCACGCACAACACAACTGGCCTGGAGAGTCCGCTCGCTGCGACTGCTTGCCAGGGGTCTTGGATACACACTTCCTCAGCAATGGAAATTGCCCACCCCAACCCGTCTTGCCTGACTTCTGATCTGGGAACCACTGCCTTGTCGTGCATACCTCTTCCGACTGTCTTATCACCAACACGGTGGATAGGTTGGTAAAGCTCTTGTGTGCCCACAACGTTCGAGGTCTGCTCAATGAAAGTCAATATTTCAGCCCAATATTGCATCCGGTCATATCTGACCGACCTTGTAGTCATCTTTCAAAGTTGGCGGAATGAATAATCATTTCGGGACCTGGCTCGAGCCGTCTGAGCACACAACTGCAGGGTTCTTCCGCTGATAAAGTTAAAGGGTATATCCAAGCATTTTCTCAGATGTTCCATAGACTGAAGTTTTCAGTGACGACCCCTGGTCACTACCTTCTCCGTCGGCTAGGGTCGTAAAACAGGCCCGGATTTCTCTGCTCAGGACCACGGCAGTGCTAGTTAACCGGATGTTTTCGACATTGAGGCTTCCAGGACGGGAATTTTTGGCGCGGATGAGAAGTGAACTTTCAAGCGTGTACGAACGAGGACATTGCCCAACCCCTGGGCGTTACTACTTTCGGCACCATGCATCAATCTGCCATCGTGAACCCAGCTACAGGACCTTGGGCTGACTAGTATGCTGTCAAGTTGACTGGCCTTATGACCATCTTTTGAATACCGGGTGAGGAAGCACGTGCTAGTGACAAGCAGTCGGATCTGATCAGCGAAGTTCAGCAGTCTCTCGCCATTTTCACATCAGGAATCAATCCAAAAGCTGCCAAGAAGAACACTATTTGTGGAGTCGCCAGGTCCAGTGCGACCATGCCAATCCCTAGCAACAATCGTCAGATCGCGGCGATCGAGTCTTTCATTTAACGCCTGCAGCTGCGAGTAAAACGCCTCTTTATCGCGCTGCTCGACAGCTAAAGTTGGTACGTACACAAAGACGATGGAGATGTTCGTAAAGTGACCCTTTAGTCGCATGTAGGGCATCCGGTCACTGACTAGTTCCCAGGCAAATGAAGCGAGATCTGCCAGTTGCGTAAGGGAGATCGACACACCGGGCCTACAAGAAAAGTCGTATGGGCCGCTGTGGTGCAGAGTGAAGTGTGATTGACTCAAGGGAGTCTTTATTTCCTGAGAGCCTGAGCGAGGAAGTTGAAATTCAGACATACAGCAAGCATCCATGTTGTACTGATTGAGGCTGCGCGCGGTCAGACTTTGGGTACCAGGGTCCAGAAATGTATGCACATTACAACATTCAATACCTAGGGTCCGCTCCAGATTGAGTAGTCCAGCTCGCATACTATTCGTCTGCACCACTAGACCAGGGTTACAGGGCGTGTCTTCCCCCTCGGACGCCGTAGCATGGATCGAAATATTGTAGTCAGATCGACGCATACGGCTGCCGCTTGACAGTTCGACCATCGGTTTCGATGATGTCCACCGTGTGCCCCACTGTTGCAGCAGCAATGGGAGAAGGGACGGTGACTTACGCCGGGGTTTATAGTGCGGGTAGACTTGCGTAGCATCTACCTACACTCTCTCCTCCTCCCTCGCCCGAGCCCGGTGTTAAGACAGAGCCAAGAAGACCGGAGACGAGGGAGGCCGCAGGTGGATGGCTCGGACGGATCCTGACCTTGGCGTTCCACCACACCCTCTGATCCACACAACAAATAACCAGGATTTCAACCAACACAACAGAGATTTGGAGGCTGGCACGGCCGAAGCCGCACCTGGGCGTGCCGCCAACGCCTGGCTCGGATCCCACACTGTGATGGGAGTGCCATAAAGGCCACATTAAAAAGGAGCCATTGCAGCCTGACTCTCAGACCGCCTCCAGTGAAGGAGGAGGTCCAAGTTACCCCGTCAGTTGGCAACCTTCCAAGCCACGGCTTTTAGCGCACCGTGACGCTAGGCGCAGTCTCACCTGCAAGCACGTGAGCGACCACCACGACCATTACGTGAACCCCACCGCTGACACCCCTACACCCCGGCTGCCGCTTACTGGCACTAACACCAAATGATTACAGAGTTTTAAGCACATTTGAAATGCTACCTGCCTTTTGCACAATTACTTAAGTTTGACGACGACCTGGGAGACCAGTGTCGGAAATTTACCTTACGATGTTTTATACTTTACCCAAAGAACTTATTTACCTCCAAAATAAGTATACGTGTCAATATGGCCACACTTAAGAGCTACAAGAAGGCGTACACGAAGCGTACAGAAGAATCGATCGCTGTCCTGGCGTCGGCAAAGCGATGGTTGAGCCACGCGCGCGTACGCAGTGCATGACAAGCGTGCTGAGCGAACCGGCGGCGAAACGGTCAAATCCGCCATTTACTCATATCGCCTCCGGCCCCCAAACGCGCCTGTCATGCACTGCGTCTGACCGACGTAATGACGTCAATCGGCATTTCTCTCTTCACTGGTTGTCTACTGCCGAACGAGTCTCAGACGCAGACACTTCGACTGTCACTTTCATGATGAGAACGTTGGCTGTATCTGCTTGTTGAGCTTCGAGTACGCTCCCCTGCCACAGTAAAGTTGTCCAATTAACTTCATCGTCCCTGCCCTGTGCTTGGAAATGCCCGAGGTCTTGACAATCCTACGGTGAGAATTTCATTGCATTTATCGCTTGAGGACGAGGAAACAATGACAAAAACAGTTCGAAAACTACCCAGATGTCGCCCTTTGCCATGATTTCGGCCTCGTCATACCTGAAAATAGACTGGAGTAGGAGAGTTGGTGTTCCTCCTCCTCCTCCTCCTCCTCCTCCTCCTCCTCATCCTCCTCCTCCTCCTCCTCCTCCTTCTCTTTATCCTTCTCTTTCTCCTTCTCTTCCCCCTTCTCCCCCTCCTTATCACCCTCACTGATTCCTGTCTGACCATCCGCATTAAAAGTGATTTTTTTGTTTTTTTTTAATACAGTTGCCTTGCCCGCACCCATATAAAACCCAGAAAGCGACTTCAGGCGGGTCTTGCGGTCCCAGAACTTGACGCTTAATGGTCGGCCCTTTACATGGCCGAGAAGGAGAACAGCGGACAGTTTACGAAACGCTTGTGACGTTTCCATACAGGTATACGAAGATCTGACCAAAAATTTGCCTAAGCTCGAGCTCAGATCAAAATCCGGTTATAAGTCCTTTTCAACTATCAAGTTGCCCGAGTCCGTAGGGGTCCTTAACTTCTGTTGCACATGAATACGTCGCACATCAGGTGATGAAATTTGGTTACTGTATCAACACTCGTCTTCGGTCACTCTGTAGGTAAATAGGTGATTAATGAAAATTTAAGATGAACATTGAGGTATCATTCCTCATAGAAATATAGTGCGGAGGTTCCTCACCACAATCAGTAGAATGGCGTGAAGCAATCTCAGTCGGCAAAAAGTCGTGACTTGGAAGGTAACTAAATAAGGCGTTAACACATTCCTGTCTTTAAATAAGGATCAGACTGATAAAACTCTTGCTTGGTATGTCCTGTAGCCTATTTTTGCAAAATCAAAATTGGATTGTGGCGGAAATTAGATAATGTTTCCCCCCCGTGCCTAATTACATTTTCTGTCGACGTTTTTTGTGAAGACTAGCACAGTCGTATCCAAGCAAGGCGGGCCAACTTAGAACCCAGTATGCATAAATTGCGGTGGAACTCAGATTACCCGGAAGCCCACTGTGATAATTAGCATCGACTGAACCTGGTTCGGAGTGTGCGGGCTGCGTTAGGAAATTGCGTTCATGTTAGGCATAAAAGGTCACTAACCTTGAAAATGGCGTGACATTTCGCTAATATGAACGGTTTTCTTGATAAATTCGGGCGGCTCACACCAAAGCGGCCTTGTGCCTTAAGGTACATCACCTGACTCTGCATAAGGCGGTCTGCCGTTCGACGAGCGTAACTCGACATGACCGCACTAAATGGCTTTTTTTCGGGGAAGGACTCTCCAATACAGATAATGTCGAGTTTTCTGTACGCATTCTCGGCCGCTTTAGGCGAAAACTGTTAGGACCAGCGAGTTTGGGGGATTGACCAAGAGGGCTACGTGGATGTTGCACCGTTCCGAATGAATCGTGTGCGAAAGAAACCATAATTGCTTGTGTGAGGAAGAAGAGTTGAGCACCAGAACACTTCGTTTATTGTCCTGAGCTTTCAGACTCATGCAGGAGTCCGTCGTCAGAGGTAATAGCGGCAACAGAACAAGAGACAGTTATATCTCATGTAGGCCAATCATCAACCGATGGCGCAAGACTGGAGGTGACTACGCAGGGCTCTGTACACCGGCGCCAGATCGGTAAATCGATTGACCGAGTTCTCATTCGAGGTCCAGACTTCAATCGATTCTCGGCCTGTTTTGTTTCCGGCGTGGACGACTATTTTGGTGGCTGCGAGGTTAAACTCGTGACCCATTTCGTAGGTGTGGGTAGCCACTTGTAATAATGCGTTGCCTCGTCGCATTGCCAGCTTATGTTAGTGTATGCGCGATCCCAGCATGCGCCCAGTCTGTCTTGTGTAGTTAAAAGGGCAATTTTGACACGAAATGCGATACACTACAGCAGATTGCTCTTCAGGCTTTAACCGGCCTTTAATTTTTATGACCCTATTGCACATGGTGGCTTTGGGTGCTTATATGTGGGTTCAGTGAAGCAGGCCCTCTAGAATTGTCGTCCAAACCAGGAGTTGTGACGGTAGTTCATTCAGGCCTAAGCCACCTAGCTTAGACATTAATAAATTTCAAATGGACCTTCAGTTTGAAACAGGTTTTTTTTTCTGCAATGCGAGCAGTTCTCAACATGAGAGAGGGAGTTCCTAGTTATTTAGCAAATGACAGCATAATGATTTTTGGTCGATAAACTCTTCTGTCGATTGCTCCAAGTGCACATGAGAAAGATCGAAATCCGATGCTGGCGCACATTTGTTTATGCTTTTAAGGAAAGTAACCCAAACTACTTTTTTCAGACCGTTAGAAAATCTTCCCGCCAAAAATGTTGTCCTATATTCGATAATATTTTGATGCTAAGAGTCCAACAATAACTGTGTGTTTAAAAATAGTCCTCACATGTCTTTTTCCTCAAACGCCAAGACCGCTGTTAAACATATATCTGAAAACAGTTGGTCATTTCAGACAAACGGGACATTGGCAGACTACTAGAATAACCCTGTTTCGCACTTAACACTTTGTAGCATGACTAATAAAACTTGATTTATAAAATTACACAAAAGCCTGTATAGAAAAGATTAAAATTATAGCAAATGCCCATTTCGAGATCGAAATGGTGAATCCTTTCAAGTATGGCATCTTATGCAAGCGAAACTGCTTTTATTATTAGCAGGCTAGTTAAAAGAAATATTTCAAGTTCACCTGCGAATAAAAGTCTTATTTATGAATAATCAAAAAGAAGTGAAGACACACGAGAGTCCACAGCGCACCTCACAAGACTGTTGGAATGGTGACTTTCTCGTGAATTGATTCGCATTGATATTAGACCTGCACTCGCAATCCCATCACCTTCCGGGTCCGACGTCAAGACAGAGTCAAGAAGACGGGAGGTGGGATCAGGCGCGTTTCTGCATCTCGAAGTGGTATTCCGTTCAGATGGTATTGCCGCGTATTAGGGGTCTGATTTCCGAGGCGCAGAATGGTGCATTTGTTCAAATTGAAGGACAAGAGCCATCTGCGGGACCACTCGTCCAATCGACAAAGATTTTCTTGGAAGTTGGTCTCATCGGCGGCATTCTGGATAACTTTCCAGATTTTTATGTCGTCCGCAAACATGGCACAATCACAGTCCAACCCATCTACACAATCATTGATGAACAAGAGAAAGAGGGTTGGTCCGAGCACCGAGCCTTGTGGGACCCCACTCTCTATGAATGTGCACCTTGATTGCTGTCTTTCTACGCAGACAATTTGGGAGTGGCCGAGAAGGAAATTTTCGATCCATTTGAGAAGTTTGCCACCGATGCCCATAATTCTCAACTTGTGTAGGAGACGCTGGTGCGGAACACTGTCAAACGCCTTCCGAAAATCAATATAGGCAACATGCACGGTGTGCTTTGCGTCCAGTGCTCGTGTCCAACTTTGCATTGTGTATAGCAAGTTCGTAACACATGATTTTTCTGACACTGTCTGGCCACCGGAGTCAGGCGGGTGAGGAACGACAAAGTGCCGTGGATGCTGCGAAAGTCTGTCATCACTGTAAACAAATTCAAATCGCCGCTTCTGCTCCCACGCTGCTGGTGGACACTATCGCACGCCGCGGTCAGTGAGGCTTTAAACCTACATTTGCTTTTAAGTTTCCGTGGTGCACGTGTTTGCACGTTTTACCCACATCTGGAGTGCGCAATAAGGGCAAGATTCTCGCATCAAACTTGAAGTACCATAAAGGTCACATTAGGAAGGAACCATTGTAGCCTAACTCCCCGTCCTCCGAGGAGGACTGAGTTATCCCGTCAGTTGGCAGCTTTCTAGGCCACGGCATTTGATGTATCCTGATTGGTTAAAGACTCGTCAGATAGTTTATAGTGGGAAATATGCTCTGAGGACGTAGTCCCATAAAACGACCCTAATCTATCATCCCTCTCCTGTGCATCAGTCTACTGTGTGAACCGGTCGAAAACCAAATGCGAGGATTGGGTGAAGTGACTGGAAGTAACTCCTCTACGCGCGCCTCACACGTGACCTGGCTCCTGAACAACGCGCCGCAGCTTGACGCATGGAGGTGGGCTATTCGAATCTTACGTGTATTAGAGGAGTGGTGGGGTCATCTGGAGTAGGAATCAAAGAATACGCTTTTCACTTGCAGGAGAGGCGTAGACTACGTGCTTGTGTTGGGTGATGAGGGGCGAGGTCCTGTGCGGTGTAGGTGCTGGTGAGGATATGTCAGATGTGTTCATTTGTGGCGCGTGTGGATGGCTGATGTGTGGTAATGTGGTTTGACCAGCGGTGTTTTACTGGGGGGTCTTCATGGACCGAGAATGCTCATGCAGGAACTGAATGCACGCGGACAGTGTGGGGAGTTAAGGCGGAGTCGGTAGGTACAGTAGGTGGGCTTAATCATGAAATGTCAACCGAAATTCTAAAATGCGTTTTCGTACCGAAAAGATTAATCAAGTAGAGCTGGCAGCATGAAGAAGCTATACTCTGTAAAAAATAACTACTAAAGTAGCATGCATTTTCTCATTGATTTTCGATGCCTTTAAAAGCCCAATTATAGTTCATGGAAAACATGCATAACAATATTCATTCTTTTACTCATTCGGTGGAAAATTACGTCTCCTTTCAATTTTATACTGAAAAGAAGAGTTTAATTCGGTTTTAAAAAAGATTCTTACTGTGAGATTTTTGAATACCGTGAAATGGCCTTCCATAAAACGTCATGTCTCTGCATTTACCAATGTGGCTCGTAAACGTAACAACATGGCTCAAAACCACTGATGGACTTTATGAACTGCATATGGTGTCCACTTAATACCGTGGAGAAACGTATGGGTTTTGTAGTTTCGAAACCCTGAATGCGAGTGTAACGGCAGGTCGTGTTCAAAATTATTCGGGGATTAAAAAAGTTTTCGAAAACCGAGTCAAACCCTTCCTTCCCACCGAATGAGTAAAAAAGGATATTTTTCTGTATGTTTTCCATGAAATATGATTGAATTTTTAAGGACATCGAAAATCAATGAGAAAATACACGCTAATTATTCAAAATCTGCCAAAATATCAACGAATTACGTGAGCCTAGTAGTCATCTGGCGGATTCTGGGTGAATTACTTAGGAAATCCTGCTGGGGCAGTCAACTTACTGTATCAGATTTGGTGGATTCCAGACGTTGCAGTAGGTAGGGCGGGTAACTTGGCCCAAGTGTGATAAAACTCGCGTCGGCCTCGTAGCTCAGGTGGTTAGAGCGTTGGCTGTGCTAAAGCCTTCCCCCTTACTGCGTGGGTTCGAATCCCACCCAGGCGCCGAGTTTTTCACAGTTGGGCCAATATGAATTAAGTAGTCATTTTTAGCATAGTGTAGTTTTTACTTGCGACCGAAAAGAAGTTCGTTCGAAGGTTGGCATCCTAGAGTAAGTGAATTATTATAGAATTATGCTGCTTGATGATTATTTCTGCAACTCTACTTAATTAAGCTTTTCGAAACTAAAACGCATTTTAGAATTTCAGTTGAAGTTTCATGAGTTAGCCCGCCTACTGTATATGCTGAAACTCCAGGCACTTGTTTGCCAGCCGCTGTGCACCTGAATCGCAAGGGACCTATCAGGTCGATGTATGAGGTGAAGGTGTGATAGCAATAGGGGTAGTTTAGGATAGAGTTCATATTGACGCTGATGGGGGCGGTTGTGGAGAGGGTAGTGGTTGACGGGGCGTCTGAGTGCTCTCACCAGTGGTTAGGATTGAAAGTACGGTAGTCGTCGGCGTCGTTGTCGCGGGGGTGGAGGCTGTGGCAGGGATGGTAAAGTTGGTGGGGGTCGGCGATATCGGTCGAGGCATCGTGGCATGAGGAGTGTGATAATAGGTGACGGTGATAGTCACCGTCACGAGTTTATGATAGAGGGATGGTGAATGGACGTTTACGAAGGCAACAGGTGAAGCTGTCGGATTGTTTTTGCCGTGGATCCGAGGATGTCCGTCGAGGCCGATCCGTTCGCGGATCGTTCGCTGACAGCGTGGACATGTTGGAAGCAATACGGTTGTGGGTTAAGAGACTGCGGTGGATAGGTGGTTAAGCACGGTTCTGGAATGCTCGGCCTAGCTCTTCAGAATCTGCGATTTCTCCGCCAAAAATGCTATTCTATTTGAGCGGAGAGGCGAAGCGGTTCCTTTGGCTGCAAGGCCGTAGACTACTCAAGGCGAAAAAATTCTCCAGGCCGTTGCGATCTGCGTACCCTTGGATCTCCCCGGACTTGAGATACATCTGGGCTTCCGGCATCTACCGTAGCCGCTACTGAAAAAGGCGGCGACATCTGGAGAATGTCATCTTGCTGGCATCGGTACGGCCGTGCGAGATCGAGGACCCCAGGGCGCTGGAGTGGATGGCGTCCCGCATTTGGCACCAGCATGCCTCCACGGTGGTGTTATCATCCGGAAACGCAGGTCGTCGAGTCAGCTGATTGTTGAATTCGAAGTCTCGAACGGCCCAGTTCGACATAACATTATTTTACTTACCTGGTGATCGATAATCTTGTGGCATCTTGCGAAGTTGCAGCCGGAGCCTCAGATTGGTATTGACAAGACAGTGATTCGTCCAGCCCTCGGTTTCGCAGATCACTGTGATCAGCAGCACGCCCTGATGATCATGCCTCTAGCAAGAACGTAGTCCAGTAGGCATCATCGCTGCTATCTGGAGTGCATCCAGGTGGCCTTCTGTCATGTTGGAGGGCGAAAGAGGGTGTTGGCTAGGGGCAGGTGGTGTTCTGCGCAGGTCCACAGGAGAAGGTGACCATTTTCGTTGCAGTTGCCGACTCCGGCGGGACCCAGCACTCCTCTCCAGGCAGCGCAGTGTGTCCCGACGTGGACATTGAAGTCACCAAGGAAGACCAGCTTATTTGCCTTCGACACTCTCGCCAGGAGGGCTCGCAGATCCTCGAAGAACTTGTCGCTCGCTTCATCGGAGCTGATCAGTGGGGCATGGGGGAGCATAGTCATTGATGGTGGTGGCAAATTTGACTCCCAATACGCTGGCGCAGAACGGTGTTCGCCGTTCCAGATGGTAAGGGCGACGCCGTTGTCGCGTCCCTTTGCCTTTGGACGGCCGCTCCAGAAGTAGCTGAGGCCGGCACACATTTCCTCCCACTAGCCTTGTTTGGGAGTGGACTAAGAAGCCATCATCACATCAACTACGACCCTCGGCAGTGATCGCGAGTGCTGTTAATTATAGTGCGCATCTGGTCTCGCGGCAGCTACGTACTACAAGTACTGCAGCCTTTGTGTCGTCATCGCCCTTATCTGTAACTGTCTCTGATGGTGGGTTCGAGTGACGATCCGAAACGCCAGACCAATAAGCTTCTTGTCCCCTGATCGCATATTTTTCTTCTGAACTGCTTCCTGGAACTCACCCGTTCTCTTCAATCGGCATGCTAAAAATATATATTCATAGATGATTAACGTTATTTAGATTGAAAGTTAATTGGTTGCGTGAGCAGTCAGAAGTATGTATTGACACCATAGTAGGCCGTGCATATGCCTTTCGTGAACGGTGCACCTCTCGCACGAGGAATGCAGGAAAGTAGATTTGATCTTGACCAGTTTAAACAAGAAGACTGAAGACTTAGTTTCCAGTCGATCGGATTACATGTTATAAGTTTACGCAACCAGCCCCGAATCCGTTTAACTGCGATCTACCAAAGGCCTCCATAAATCAGTCAAACTGCAAGTTCGAACCGGTGAAAGTGACTGCCGTGGTTTGCGACGTGATCGCATCTTCATCATCATCATCATCATCATCATCATCATCATCATCATCATCATCATCATCATCATCATCATCATCATCATCATCATCATCATCATCATCATCATCATCATCATCATCATCATCATCATCATCATCATCATCATCATCATCATCATCATCATCATCGTCATCATCATCATCATCATCATCTATTTCTTTTCTTCTTTTTCTTTTTCTTCTTCTTCCTCTTCTTCTTCTTCTTCTTCTTCTTCTTCTTCTTCTTCTTCGTCTTCTTCTCTATTTTCTTCTGAACTGCTTCCTACAACCCGCCTGTTCGCGTTTGTCGGTCACTGATTGGTTAGTGGGAGAAGGGCTCGTGTTAGCTCGGCTCACCTGCAGGATTGCATATCGCCCTCTATTTAGAACTTTTTAAAATATGGGAGCTGGCAGTGGGGGGGAGACGGGAGAGCATAATTATTAGGTACGGAGACAAACACAAAACATCGGATGCCCTCGTTATCGGGGTGTGACCGCTAGGCAGAGTCTAGCTTCGGGTAGCTACAGGTGAGATTTGGGTGACAGTTAAACACCTTGCAGAGCAGGCAGCGTTTGCGTAAGGCGACCTACCACGTCTACATGATTTACCCCCTAATTAGACAGCCCAACAGCCCAGGAAGCATACACACACACGCTGTCACACAAGTCATTATTTCCCGACTTCAATTATTGTAAGCGGCTAAACGTATCCTTACTTCGAAAGGGGGAATTTTAAAATTCAGGAGGGGACTTTTGACTGCGTGTCACGGAAATTGTTTAGTCACAAGCAGCCTGCCCAGTCTAAACAAGCAAATTAAGTAGCAAGCAAAATATTTTTCGGCCAGGTTCACACCGTGTTAATCTTTCACGTTTTCTGCGGCCAGACACACAGACCATGAATTCTGCGCCTGGAGGCGCATTTAGATGGAGGGCGTTTGAAAGTTTAAGCATAGATCTGCTCAGAATCATGTCAGGCAGCAATGAGCGTTGAAACGTCTTCTTATCGTCACCAACAACGATGTACGCAAAGGACCCCACAGCAGGGCACTCACAGGGATGGTGAATTGTGCAGGAATGAGGCGATAGTGATATCTGACTTGCACCGCATCTACCGCACTCACTCCTCCACCTTCTATCTGGCCCGATGTCAAGAGAGTCAAGGAGGCCGAAGGAGGGGTCGAGTGCAGGGTCTGATATAGATTAACAGCCACATCAATCCTCCACCAGTCCTTTGAGCTCGGCGTCAAGAGGGTCAACGAGACAGGAGGAGGGGTAGGGAGCAGGGCTAACAAAGTATGACAGTCGGGCTACGCATGCCACACACGCCTGATCCGCACACTAAACAATCTAACGCACTTTCAAACTATCAGGGTGTGCTAAAAAACCGTGTCTTGGGAGGTTGGCAACTGAGAGAATAGCTGGATCCTCTCTCTCCTTCTCAATGTGGCACTCTCGGTTAGCTGGGACTGTAGTGGCCGCATGTCACTATAACTATCGTATTTAGGCCGTATTTCTGTTGCGAATTATAACTGGCCCAACATCAAACTCGCGAAAAATTCCGATCGGATGACAAAAGCGACTGATTAAATCACAAATTATTATCGCGGGGAAAAAGCATGCTGAAGTGATGGAGCAGATATGCAGTCGACACTGTTGATATTGTAATGTTCCTATTTCGTATAATCCGACTTAGTGAAAATTGTTAAGTTGGGCACAGGCTCTATGTGTCCTGGTCGATATAGGTTTGATTTTATTAGAAGGAGTTGAAATGCATGAAATGTAACTATTCACTGAACTCACAAATACAAAATAATGGCGCAGAAGTCATACATAATTAAACTTACAGTGTAGGTATTTCATTAAGAAAATCATTCGTTATTTTTTAAGCAAAGAGCTTTACTTATTTTAGATCATCACAGATGATGAGTTCCTCTTTGTTGTTATCTCTTAGAGCATCGAAATATGCCAGTCAGTAAGCTGGTTGCTGGTTCCAGAACAAACAGCAACAGTAGTAGCAGCAGCGGCGGAACAACAGCGCCGTATGCAAACATGGGAGGATATGCCCACCCCGAAGTTGGGAAACACGAAAAATCGCACCTGCCCTACGAGATCAGCTTATGAGATCTCAGATGAGAGCTGTCGAAGGCCGCATCAGAGAGAGCAACTCCACCTGTGCAGGAGCGTAGACGGTAGCTCACAGGAGTGAGAACGAAAACGTCCCGAAGAGAACACTCGGAACGGTGACGATTGGAAAGTCGATTTCGAAGAAGTTCATTGTGTCTTCTGCAGCAGGGTGGCAACAGAGACGGGAGTTTGAGCGTAAAGTTGTTTGTAGTGATAGCAAACTTGCGTAGCCTCTGCCGCACCCCCTCCTCCCCTCCCACCTGTCAAGACAGAGTCAAAACGGTCAGAAGCGGGCTCAGGTGGACCCGCATTTGGGCATTCCATCGCACCCCCGGGTCTACACACAAACGGCCAGAAGTTCACATAAGATGTGGGGGCGGGGCGGGATGAGTGGTAGAATGTAAGCAGTTTGTTATTACCGACAAAGACAAGGAAGACTGGAATGGCCATTCCTGGTTTATTAGCCGTCGTCAGCCAGTCATACCGAACCCCGAAGTGTGGAATACCCGAGGCTCGAACTTGCGACCTGTTAGTAAAAAGTCCACGCCTCTAACCACTGGGCCACGAGCCCGTTGCCATGTCAGTTTTCGATCGGAAATATACAATGGTAGAGGGGGCGCTCACCGATCGTTCTTACGGCACTCACTCGTTCCATTGTGCCTTACGGGCTCTCTCTCGAACCCAACCAACAGCAGCATAGCGGCGCATGATATAGGCAGAATAGCATTACCGACAAAGACAAGGGAGACTGGCGGTGGCCATTTTTGGCTTATTAGCTGTCGTCAGCCAGTTATACCTAATCCCGAAGTGTGGAACACCTGAGGCTCAAACTCACGACCTGTAAGGTGATAATAAATTCAAGTTGGCGAACGCACGTTTTCGGTATTTCTTTCTCAGGCCAATACAATTACATGAACGAATGAAAATGTACAAAGTCGACAGTGTTTATAGATGCCTCAAGGGCTATTAAGTCACTAACGCTCATCATCCCCACGCCGCCCGCATGAGAAGGTCGGCGGGTGTTAGTCGTCAGAGCTAGGGAAGGGGGTAAAAGAGTCTTTGAGTAATGATCTTGAGTTGAGTACACGGAGTACCCATCATCGTGATTAGGGATTTGAGGCGGCATGGCTTCATCAATTGGGGTTGGCGTTGGCCACGGCAGCGAAAGCGCTTGTGTCAGAGTTTTCTGACAGCATAACACCGGATTCACTAACCGTGTAGCTACTGCCTCTGCCGTTGCTAGTATCCGTTGGCGTAGGCCTTTAGAGAAGCATGTTGGTGTCCGGTAGACAACCTGAAATGTTTTCTTGGCATCGACTCGGTGGTTCGTATCGATTAAATGCGCGAGAATAGAACTCCAAATCGACCGGGTCTCACCTCTGTCTGGCCAGGCGGGCATATGTTCACGCACCCTCTTTACCAGGCGTCTCGTTGTGCGGCCGATGTATCCTGCTCCACAGGAGCAAGTGAATGAATAAATGCACATTGATGTGGCCTCCAACGGTAGTCTGTCTTTACCTCCCAAACGTAGGAGGGGAGAGTTTGCGAAGCATACGCGTAAATTCGCCGCAGGGAATGCCCTCGTGATAGCTGTAGTTAAGCGCCGTCGGACTAGTTCGCTCTCTGCGTCTCCTCTAAAAGGCAATCTTATGAATACATCTTTCTTTTCCGCAGTCGCAACAGTAGGCTTTTCAACGCGTTCCGCAATATTTCGGAGGATAAATCTATCAGAGTGTCCGTTCTCCCGAAGTGTGTTCCGCAGATAATAAATTCCCCAGATTACAAGTCAACAGAGAGGCATCTCGCGGCACTCGACCACTTGCGAGCGTATTCAGCGAAGTACAGCGCTATTTTACAGCCGACGCAGCCGTATAAAGCCGAAAGTATCGCAGAAAAGCAGACAGAAGCGAATCTTCCCTTGGGCGTTCTGCTGCGAGGACCTATTTTGCACTCTGGGAGGGACGATCTTGGGGCACGGGCTATCACCGGGGGGAAGAGGCTACGCAAACACTGCCCGAGGAAACTGCCAGCGACAGTGCTATAAAAGAAGAAGCTGACAAGGGCATTTCATGGAAAGACGAGAAATGGTTCAAGCCGCGCCGCCCCTGCGTTCGATAAATGCCTTCCCCTCTCTCTCCCTCTCCTAAAGACGACATTGCGGAAAGAGCGGCGTCTCGCTCAGCTGATGGCTGCAACGATATTACACGTAGGCAGGCGGTGGAGACAGTCGAAAGTTGACAGGAAACCTCAGCTCCACTACGTAAAGTTGGCAAAATCCCGAGGCGAAGGGTAGAAGGATGACGCAGGGACTCTTCTGGCGACATATTTTCGCCCTTTGCGGTACGAAGAATCAAACCGCGGGTCATGTAGAGAAGGCACAAGGACAGAGTGTAAAAGTGACTGAGTTAGTGCAGCGGCATATTGCTGTTGTTCTTTGTTTTGTCATTGATGGGCAGGAAGTCGTTCCGCATAGCTCAGTTTTCCCTGGGAGAGTCAGACAAAAGTTCGCGAACAGTAATCATCTGTTGTTGGTGACAGGATTAAACCGCGCTTTGCAGGACGCAGATTTGCTGGTGCGTATCTATGCGGAGAGGGTGACTTCCGGTAATTCCCATACACAAAGCCAGGCTTCTTAACGGGCAGTTGGGCCGCCCCAAGCAATGACACCCAGCGGATTGGTATAGCACCGGTGTTTTGTGCATGAATTGGTTTACAGTGGGGCCGACTTGCACAGAGTCTACTGCACCCTCACCTTCCTCACCTCCTTTGCTCCGGTGAGCAGACGATACCCAAACGGCTGGAGATTGGCTGACAGGACCAAACAGCCCGCTTACGCGTGCCACACACGAGCTGGTTCACACAGCAACAAGTAGGACTGCTTGGCACTCACGGTATTAAGAGTTCACAGTAGGAAGGAGTCATTGCTCGGTCTGGAATAGAACCGAGCTATCCAGTCAGTTGGCAACTCTCCTTGCTAGAGCCCAGCGCGTCAGACTTATCCTAGTGAGCGGTGCTTTGATTTGCCAGTGTCGATTCCACTTTCTCGTCCCGCTTTCATGCGCCGGTAGACTGTCCGAGTTCCTCAGCCAACCGGTGATGACAGCGGGTGCAGTAACTGACCCGGCCTGTCATCACACGAATGTACGGTGGTGGTTGTAAGCTCGCTTCGATACACTCACGCGGGCTGTCAGTATGATCCTCCCGTCTTTCTGGTTCATCACACCTGCAGTTCAGTCCGATACTGGGAGTATATCTTCACCCACCTACCGGTAAAACCTGAACAACAGCTGATAAGATCTGTTACGTGTGAACACATTGTTGTCGACGCTGGCAAACTTAGAGCCCTGGACTCCTTTCGGTCAGATTTGGCTGTGCAGCTGCACCTGAGTTTAACAAACCCCAGCCACCTGTAATACGGGACCGGTGGTAATAGGGGTTTTTACAGGTGGGGCCAGGAGACGCACAGGCGACGATGTCAATTAACTGTATGCCAAAGAAAAGCTATCTCTAACCCCTAGCCCTAGGCCCTAACCCTTAACCACGGCCCTAAACCCTGGCTCTAACCCTTAACCGCAGCCCTAAACCCTAACCCTGAAATATCTAACGTGAAAATTGGAACGAGACGACAGGCCCAAAGTCAGAAAGGACCGCCGAAATTGGACCAAAAACGTCGACACGACAGCAAAATCAAAGCCGCTAACAGAACACACACCACAACGTACATCATCACTATGCCAACGTAATCACACCAAGTCAAAATAATTATGTAAGTCAACAGTATTTTGTCCACTAGGTGCGGCTACATAACCACATCTTACCTTCTTTCTACCAAATCAAAGTTGGCTTCCAAATAACGAGAATGAGGTCCTGTAGGCTATCTTTAGGATCAGAATATCCGCAAAGGGGGAAGAATCTGGCGGTCTATCGTATACGTGCAGTCCAACAGATTCATCATCATCATCATCATCATCATCATCATCATCATCATCATCATCATCATCATCATCATCATCATCATCATCATCATCATCATCATCATCATCATCATCATCATCATCATCATCATCATCATCATCATCATCATCATCATCATCATCATCATCATCATCGTCGTCGTCGTCATCATCATCATCATAGTCGTCGTCGTCGTCGTCGTCGTCGTCGTCGTCGTCATCATCATCATCATCATCATCATCATCATCATCATCATCATCATCATCATCATCACCACCACCACCACCATCATCATCATCATCATCATCCTTATACTCATCCTCCGCCTCATCATCATCATCATCGTCGTCGTCGTCACCGCCAGCACCATCATCAGCATTTACATAATTACAACCATTAGCCTTACTCCTAGCTTTTTCCGTGGCCATGGCAAACTGTAAAATTTTCAAATGGACTGCGAATGGAAGTAAAAAAAGAACAAAAAACCGCGGTTAAGTTTTTGCCGCCTAGCCGCGGACGTAGTCCCCCCGCCGCAAGGAACAGCGATATAAATATTCACACGTTGCTGCACTCATGCAGTCTCTGATGATGAACTCCAGTTCGAGTTCGAAAGTTCGGGCAAATCAATCTACTGTCCCAGTGATCGTGCCTTCGTCTTCTATTAAACAAGAACCTGGGATGCGCATATTCACTTCCATTCGTGATAGATGAATCTTTAAGAGCATCGAAAATCACTGGGCAAAATGCATGCTACTTAAGTAGTCTTTTTGTAGTGTATAGTCTGTGCATGCATTCGACAGGAAGTTCTTTCAAAAGCAGGCATCCTGAGGTAACTGAATTATAATAGAATTATGCTGCACGATGATCAGTTTTACAAGCCTACTTAATTAATCTTTTCGAAACGAAAACACATTTCGGAATTTCGGTTGATGTTTCATGAGTTAGCTCACCTACTGTATGTTGTTATTGCTGTAGCACCACAAGTGAACTCTCGAACGAGTTGAAAAAAGAGCAACGATAACACTCAGCCCTATGGCTTGACCGTTGTTTCGAATTTCCTAAGTCCGCCCACGAAAACATTTTTTTGAGACGGTACTACTTAATCGTACCAAAGATATAGGAGAGATCCGTTATCTCCCTCCAATATACAAATTTGCGTTCACTTCCCGCCGAGATGTGATGAACAGTGTGCTGTGAACAAATCAGTACTCGCCAATGGCGACTTGCATCAAATAAGTCAGCTTAAAATTCTTCAGCAAGAGGAGAATTATGGCCCCTTTTATATTATTGTTTTTCTTTTGTCAACATTGTGCAGCTGGCGCACAAGCCAGGATCGTTGTTGTTTTCCTTGATCTCATGAGAGAGAGAGAAAGCGGTGTCTTCCATTTGAACAAATGTCCGGAAGTAATTATACGATTCCGGAAATATACTCGCTTCTGAAGGACAAAAAGAAGTCCCTCCCCCGGTTTAAGTCCTAATCTGGCTAAATTTGGCTGGCCCCTACCGACTGAAGTTTGCTTAAAACGCCCACGCAAGGGATGAAAACTCCTAACAGGGCGTTTACCAACTTGCTTAATTTTTATCTGCCTAAAAACTGTGCTACTTTTGTACACTTGCATTCGCAAAGTTCAGAACCAGTAAAAACGATATATGAAGGTTTTTTTATATAATTGCTAGTAAGCCTACTGCCTGACGTATGAAATCATCCTAGGTTTAGAAGTTTACCTTCTCCAAAGGTTTTTAAGTTGCAATAGTTTGGACAATTGTCACTATGGAGGTTATGACGTTGCCTCAAAACGAAAAACCCAAAAAATTGTTTCTCGATATAGACGAATGAATGGTGATGAGTTACTTGTGCGGAATGAAAAGTTGGACGAAAATGCTCTCAAAAAGTAGTAAAAAGTAAGTGAATTTATTAAACTTGGCGCCTTGCCGCTATCAGGCAAGCCAAACGCTTGGTTTGCTTGAGGGTTTGAAAGGGTCGAAATTAGTCGGGTCACAAAGTGTTTGTGACGCTGATCAGCCGTACCTAGACGAAAAAACAAAATAATATGCGACAAATGTGAAGAAATACTTTTCGGCAAAAGTAATTTCTCCCCTAAGATGCGAAATAATTTCGACTTTTTAAATTAATATCAGAAATGACAGATGTTCCCTATTCCTCGGCCTTAAACATTTTTTTGCAGCAAATGCCTATCAGACATAGCCGACGGGTTTGCAATCGGTAGGACGTTTAGAAATCAGAGCGTCAGGAATTTCAGTCAGTTGGGCATACACCTACGCTATTATTACTTGCAGTAGACCTAAAAGACAGTCGAATTGGATGACGTAGGCGGGATTTAGCGCAACAGCGATTTTTTGAAATGACGTTTGTTTTGCCATATGAATACACGCAGAAGGCCGGTGCGATTCATGAGGCCGAGGGGATAATTAGGGCGGGCTAGTATTTGCACGTTTACTTAAAGCGTTTTTGGAGTATTGCACGTGATCTCTATCAGTCACATGATTCAATGAACAGCTGGTGGCCCGTAATACGGGGTATAATTTACAAAACCTCGACACCAGTGAAGAAGGGGGTTGGATTTAATTTGATACGCAAATAGAAACATTTTCTAAAATAACAAATCTTTACTGTTAATCAGTACTCCATAAAAGAAGAAAAAGAACAGATTTATTCTGTGTACTTTCAGTAAAAAAACAAATAAATTTGTACAACCACTAAAAATTCGTGAGAGGTGGCGAGACAATCGGTTGTAGAGTATGTTAATAAATTTTATGGTCTCATCTGTAGGATGCTTTCTGTCTGAAAAGATGCTGTGAAACATTTGTCAATACTTGCCTTAACGTCTCATCAGGCACGCAAACTACTGAATAAATGGGAATGTATCTGCATAAAAAGTGTCCAAGAAATCACCTCATCGGTAAGTGCTCTCAAGAAATATTTTGAAGGTTTTTATGAATACATTCAGCTGAAACTACCTTTACGATCAGTCGACTGGGAACGCAGAAAGCTGTGAAGTATTTACTGGTGCATTAGAAACCTCCGTAAAAATGTTCTACTTGTGCTGTTTCATTTACTCAGTTATTTGCAGGAACAGTACTCGTAGGCTTGAAAAACTTGAATTGACACATTTAACTCGATTTTTCGTGTTTGTGACGTTTCTGTTTTTCTAAAAAGGTGTCGTTACTAAGCCATTAAATATAACTTTTAATGTTTGTTTTGAGTTTTTATTTCGTATAACGTCGTTCTGTGCTTGCTGTAAATTTTGGCCGATGTATTATGGCTGCTTTCTGAAGGATTAAAGAAGTTTTGTGAATATAGACGCATTTAATATGTTCCGTTCATTCCCATATGCATATATATACCGAAAGAAGTGCTGATAGTGCGAACAGGCGAGTCCCAGGTAGCAGTTCAGAAGATGAAGATGCGATCACTGGGCCAAGAAGTTTATTTGCCTGACGTTTCGGATTCTCACTCGAATCCATCATCAGAGACATTCGCTTTGTCTGCTCTATCTGCGAATGTTTCTGATGATGGATTCGAGTAAGAATCCGAAACGTCAGGCAAATAAACTTCTTGTCCCAGTGATCGCATCTTCATCTTCTGAGCCGAAAGAAGTGTCAAAAATGATCAGGGAACTGGAATGGCTATCTCTGTTTTACTGGCCATTATCAGTCAGTCATATCCAATCCAAACGGAGAACCGCCTGGGACTTAAACCCGGAGTGTTCAGTCACTGAATCGAACGCTTAGCACTTAGTCACGGGCCTACAGTCCCCTGGGTTGTGATCGGGAACAGAATCACTGTTAGAGCTATGTTCAGCGATCGGTTTACTGGATATGCTCATTCTGTTGTGCTCTGATCTCAGTCTATAGCCCAGAAAGACTTGCATAGAAACAGTCAAAATATGCTTAAAGGAGTACTTCGAGAGCCCTAGATGTGGCATCGAGGCACAACGAGGCAGGCAAGTCCGGACGAATCGGTGAACGAAATTTCAGCATACCGCTGCTCAATCCAAACAGCATCGTTGTTGAGATGGACGAGAACGAGGCCTTCAATGTCTCGTTGTTGTGATGATTCCGTCTGAACTCCTAAATAGCGACGTACAGTGGATGGGCTAACTCATGAAATGTTAGCCACAATTCTGAAATGCGTTTTCGAATTGAAAAAACTACTTAAGAAAAACTGTAACATTAGTTAACATGCAGCATAGCCCCCTTTATAATTCAGTCAAATCAGGATGCCGGCTTTTAAATGAATTTCTTTTTGGCCGCCTGCAGGAACTACACTCTGTAAAAACTTCACTCTTATGTAGCCTGATTTTTTCGCTGGTTTTCGATAGTCTTATAAATTCAAACATATTTCGTAGAAAACATGTATAACATATTCATTTTTTCATTCATTTAGTAGAAAACTACATATTCTTCTAATTTTATACCTGAAAGAAGGGCATAATTTGGTTTTAAAGAGTTTCCACTTAGGAGATTTTTAAAGACCGTGAACCAACAGTTCCTGAAACTTCGTGTCTTTGCACTTACTGGTTTTGCTTGTAAAGTTTACAATATGACTTAAATCCACTGCTCAATTTTAGGAACCCCGTATGGTCTTTCTTACCGTATGGAAGTGAATGATTACCCTTACACGAAGAGTATAAAACCTGTTGCTTGAAAATCCTGAATGTAAGTGTAACTGCCGTTTGGATTCACAATTATTCGAGAATTGGGAAAGTTTTTTAAAACCAAGTCTCACCCCTCTTTCAAGTTTAAACCTGGAAGCAGGCGTAATTTCCTACCAAATTATTTACAAAATGAGTACTTTTATGCATGTTTTCTATTAAATAGATTGGAATTTTTAAGAACATCGATATCAATGAAGACATTCATACTACATAAGTAGCCAGTTTTTACAGAGTGTGGTTTTTGCAGACAGCCGAAAAGAAATTCGTTCAAAAGATGGCATTCTGAAGTTACTGAATGATAATGAGGTTATGCTTCACGTTGATCAATATTACAACCCTACCTAAGTAGTCTTTTCTGGTCGAAAAGACATTTTCGAATTTCGGTTAACATTTCACGACTTAGCACATCTTCTGTATGTATGCGCGTGACGTGCGTTGGATGGAGGCGGTCCCCACGAAAATTGCACCACCCAGTCCGGCTCAGGTAGGCATCTGTGTCGATAAGGGAAGGGACAGAAAGCACGGCTGACCCAGCTTGTATCCTGCATTCAGTCCTCCACCACAAACAACCAAACTCTAATTCCAGTACGAGCTCTCAGTCGTGGCTTGGCTGACTTGACCTTTCTCAGGACTGGCCTTATATAAGAAGACGAAGTCACGACCACTGGGACGGTAGATTTATTGGCCTCAGCTTTCGGACTCAAACTGGAGTTCATCATCAGAGACTGCTAAAGTGCAGCAGGGTGTGA